TAAATCTCGTCTAAGGTGCATATGTTGCACCTTTTATAAGGTGCCAACCAAGCTCTCCCTAGTAAACAATCTTAAATACGCAAATAACAATACACCGTGTGGTCCTGGCACAGAATTAGCTATCCCTTCCTTTTCCATGGGTTTCGTAAGAGGTGTCTAAGGGAACTTAATGGTCGAGGGAGGGGTAGCAGCGTCTTTCTTAAAACATCATCAAAGCCAAACTTTAGTTGTCAACCCGCCTGCCAATCATTGGAACTAATGGCAAAACCCCACTTATTGGAGAGGCCTGTGTTTTGCTGTGAACAGTTAACGGCTCATATAATAATAATAAATAATAATATAAATGATGATTGTTGATGTTTGTTATTATTATCCGATAGTCTTAAAGCGGTAGCTCAACTGGCCACAGTACTGGTTCAAATCCCGCTCACAATGAAGGAATATCTTGCATGAAATAAAAAAAATGGGTACACTTAAGACTTTATATTCCGAAATCTACTGTAGACTCCACAGCATTCTCGTTGTAAAATATTGATTTCCTGCTCCCACCCTTCAGAAAATTATGAGTCATCTTTATTGCTACTGAACTAGGAAGTCTCCCACATATAAATAATGCAATTTAGTATTTGTAACCACGGAATATTATATCTGAACCGGTCTCAGCGGTCGTTGGCTGCCTAAATAGCTGAAAAACAATCGCTGTCTCACGCGAAATATCAAAACAAATCATACATGAGACCCGTGATCGATCCGATGATCCCCTGAAGGCAGTAAACACGGAGTAAGTCTTCGCGTGCACGCGATCCGTTGCCAAGATATCGAATATACAGTCTGCGATCAAACGTTTTATGGGGGTATTTTTAAATAAACAATAAGTAAACATCGTCTTTTAGCCATTTTTAACCCCCGGTACAAGAAACGATTATAATAAGTTTTATCAACATCAAAAGAACGGTGCAGTCAGAAAATAGTTGGTTACAATCAGGAGAACCGGGGGAAAGGGAAACCCCCTGGAAACCATCGTGAACAATTCTTGTTTAATTCGTCACGATAGGTTAACTGACCTACTTCATCCTCACCTATCATCCTTCACTGGTGCCCCGCCGGTGTATACCGATAGCGCAAGTGGGGTTACCATTCCATTATCATCCATTAAAAAAAAAATCAGGAGAACCGGAAATCGAAAACTAATCATTTTATGGGACTAGGAATGTTAAACAATCTGATAGTCTACCTGATGGATCGCATATAAACAGTTATCACTTTCCTTTGACACTCTTCCAGTGATTGCAACCGCACCTCTCACGCTTTACCGTTCCTAAAGATTGAGGTTTAATACCTCCACACCCATTAATACCAGAGGGAGACTTTGTACAAAAGTCGATTGCTTGGGTACCTCTGTCCCATTCATTTCTAGCGTGAAGCAGTTGTGTTTGCATGGCTGTGTTTCGGTTTGAAGGGTGGGATATGGCGTGAATTTAAAGAGTACAGAGGAATAACACCTGAGTCCTCAGGAATGGCAACGCATGGGGGGTATCATGGGCGAAACAGTATGTGTGTGTACTGTTATGTCCATGGTACTGCTCATGTCTATAGGCGACGGTTACCACTTTCCATCAGGTGGGTCGTCAGCTTGTTTGCCATTCTAAGTCATATAAAAAAATAATAATAGCCATCTAAGTACAGCTACTTAGTGGCAAAAATACAAATGGGATAATGATATCCAAGTAAACGACATATACTATTCTTCTGGTGATTTTCAATTAAATACTAAATATAATCATCCAGTCAGTAACGACTACTAAAAAGTCTAAACCTCAAAATTTCAAATTCATGTTCACTTGCTTCGTGCTTTGAATGGCACGCGAAGCCGTTGTCTGGTAAGCTCAGATTTTTATACAGACAATGGCGGCCTTGATAATCTTGACACCAGGGGGTGCTGCATATGTTTTTACTTTTTGTAACATTACTAGCTATGCCCCGCAGTTTTACTCATCCAAAAATAGAAGAAAAAGCAACCTAACAATTTCCACTTATTTCCTTTTAACAGTTTTTTAAACATTACTGAGTAAATATAAGCAAATAACAACATAAATATTCATACTTACTTATAATACTAGGGTTCTATTAAAATAACAGTAAACAAATTCAATGTGACGTAGTTATCAATGTATATCGGACAAGTTCGTATTGATAACGAGATGCGTTTTTGATGTTAATGGAAAAAACATCAATTACATTGATACTGCACCTATTGATACTGTCCTATTTGATATAAAGGCTTTTAGCGTAGTCGTTGATTCAGTAACATAATAAAATACATTACAATGTTATCGTATGGGAAAATTTGGCATTCGTTTCCATACAGACAAATTCTACGTGGAACATCGTCGAAAATTGTTGGATCAATCAATGATTTCAATCAATGTACCACAGAGAAGTTTATTTGACTTTTTAGGTTTATTATTAGTTGCATTACCGGCCTATGATTTATCAATCGACTTCAAAGAGTAGGAGACGTTTAGCTATATTTGTGTGTGTGTGTGTGTGTATGACGTGATTATCTTCGCCAGTTCTGAATAAAGTTTAGGCGATTATTTTTTTAATCGAAAGGGATTTACTACCGTATTGAACCCATACTAATTTCGTAAACAATTTTCGTTGGTTTTTGTTGTTATAAAGTCGAAAGAAAGCTATAAAGCTATAAAAATTAAAGCATCTCTTAGTTGCTTTGTGTCTATTCGGGTACGACTTTAAAAAATTTGTCATTAAGTTTATATTAAAAAATTTTTTAAAGAATGAAGTCCATCAGGAAGAAGAAGTAACCGTCGTTTGTAAGCATTAATAGCATCATGACCGCAATGAAATACTCTGTAATGCCCATTATACCCTTCATGTGTTGCCCTTGCTAAGATCACACACCTACAAACCAATACATAGTCATACAAGGACAGCTGCTTAATAAAAGAAGCACAAGTGGATCAGAGGTAATCCATGCAGATGACAGAGGGAGACTTTGTACAAAAGTCGATTGATTGTGTACCTCTGACCCATTCGTGTTTCTACCGTGAAGCAGTTGTGTTTGCATGGCTGTTTCGGTTTGAAGGGTGGAATATGGCGTGAATTTACAGGGTACAGAGACCTGAGTCCTCAGGAATGGCAACGCATGGGGGTATCATGGGCGAAACAGTATACTCTGTTATGTCCATGGTACTGCTCATGTCTATAGGCGACGGTTACCACTTTCCATCAGGTGGGCCGTCAGCTTGTTTGCCATTCTAAGTTGTATAAAAAAAAAAAAAACTTTTATACTAAATATCCCTTTGGAAAATACATAAGTTATTAAATAATATATAAGTGTAAATATTATACAAACTTGAAACTCCGCCATGTATGCCCCGGCACAGAATGGGCCACCCCTTCCTTTCCCGTGGGTGTTGTAAAAGGCGACTAAGGAGGTCCGAGGGATGGGCAATAGCATTCCTCTTAAAACGCCTCTAAGAGCCTAGCTGCGGTTGCCAACCCACCTACTAAGCGTGGCAACTTCTAGAAAAACTCCCGTTATGGGGAAGGCTTATGTCCAGCAGTGGACAGTTAACGGCTGAAATAATAATAATACAAACTCGAAACGCGAATGTTTTAATAAAATTATTGATTAGTCCAGTCTACCATGCACAATTGCTATAGTTTTGGAATGTATGCAACCTTTTTAGACAAGTGGCAACATACGTTTTTGTTACTTCTATTACTAAAAAAATACAACTCATGCATGTGGCAGCGAAGTTTTATCTGTCCTATCTCATGAAAGAAAATAATGAGACCAAAATAGTAGGTAATTATATATGTATATATTAGATATGTTACTGATTGAAGGGTGGGATGGATGCATAACATTTGTCGGAACAGCAATGGGGAGTATCATATGCATTACGGTGTAATCTTCATAGTATTATAACTATCATCATATTAATCCACTACTGAACATAGGCCTAACCCTTGGAGGGTTTTGCCAGCAGTTGCTACGCTTGGCAGACGAGTTGGCAACCGCAGTTAACCTTTGGTGATGTTTTAAGAATGACGCTGCTGCTTATCCTTCGACTTTTAAGTTTCTTTAGTCACCTCTTATGACACGAGAAAACAAGGGATGACCCATTCTATGATGGAACCATACAGCGAATTTCTCGTTTATACAGGCGAAGATTTCCACTTTATAGGCCGTATGCTTGTTTGTTGTTTTATATATGAAAAATTTTAAGTTAAAAAACAAAGTTTTATTTAAATGCCAAGATGTTTGCAAGGCATAGACGCCCTTAATAATCATAAGCGATATGGAAACTATTTAGTTTTTTTTTTTTAACTATTTAAAGTTAAAGATATTATAAAGTCAAGACTCACCCAAAAACTGAAAAGCTACATTAGAAATAGGGTGCATCAACAAACTAGAATACATTTATACTTTGTCTCCCTTTAAGATTGATAAGCGGTGTCGAAAACATTTATTTAAAAGACCTAGTTTAGTAAGTGGCAAGTTTAAAAAAGCTGACGGCAAAAGTAGATACATATACTTATTCGTCTTATCCTATGTAGGTTTTTAAAATTGTTTACAAATTTGTTACTCAATCATACTTAAACAACTGACTGGATTAGAATGGCTCACGCATGGATCGCAGATATATCCAAAAATACTTATATACTAATTCGGAACTGGGGGTTATAAATATTGGTAAAATAACGCTACAAGCAACTTTCGAGAAGTACACATCAGTACAAGAACGCATTTACTGAACCTATATACTTATTTATAAATACATATCGTCGTAATCAGTATCAAGTCGGGAGTTATTAATTAACTGAAAAACTTCGCTGAAAAAGTAATAAATATATAAATGGAAAATTCCAACGAAACCTCGGCGTACACTCATAAAACTTAATAACATTTTTTAAGTCACGCTTGACCTAATATGTCGTGTTCTGATTAAGTCACAAATAAGAATAATTACCGGATCTAAGATTCCCGCCATAGGTACAGTGACTGAGTCTTCACCTCCAGCTGCGACCAGTTTTTCAAGAACCTTGAGGGTTTGCTCCACGGCTGACCACTCGCCCTTCTGCGCCAGCACCAGGATCTTGCTGGCCACTTCTCGCATGTTAACCCCAGCGCTGGGCGGTTTGGAAACGAGTTCACCATTTCCCTCCTTGGCTTCTTTCTTATCTCCATTGTTAGAGGATGTCTCATCTTTATCTTCGGTCGCCTTGGCTGGTGCAGTTTTCTCCTCGTCGGTGGCTTTCTTGGGTGGGCCTTTCCCACCCTTCTTACCGCCGGGAGCCTGAGACATCCTCACTGCATTCACTCACAATCCTGGATCACAGTCCTACACCACTACACTGGGTCGGGATGGCATGCCTTGCGAATGTTGCTCGCTAGGCGGACGGAGCATGACTGCGGCACGGTTGCGTAGCACCAGCCGATTTCTTGCATGATTCGAATAAATAAAGGCGACTTTGCGCGGTGCTAGATTTACAAACAAACTTCCAACGACGTCTCAAAATGTCTCATGCATTGACCCATTTTACTTTTGTTTTAGGGAGCGCTCCCTTTATCACACACAAATTATAAAAGTCTTAAATTGGGTCTCATAATAGGTAAGGGGGAATATATTTGGGGGTATTCACGCTTATAAGTTTTTTATTGATATATGATAAAATTATGACGTGGAAATCCTACGCTACCAGAATTAATGCCATTTTTTTTATTAGAGTATTTGTATACAATAATTATTCTTCATGTGCGAAGTGCTTCAGCAAACGAGTTAAAACGGAGATCCAGGGTACGAGCATAATACCTAATTCTTCTTTTCGAACTACGAGAACAAAGCTGGTCTTGAGCATTCTAGGATTCTAAGAGTACATGTTATTTATATAAAATGAACTACCGCGATAGTTTTCTTGCATTGTTAACTAGATATTTATACGTCATAATGCCCGATAGTACCTTCTGGATTGACATACATATCCTCAACATCATTGGTCATGATTCTTCCTTTCCGTTTTCCTTTCCAGTGAAGAGTTCGCGATAACACTCACCAAAAGGTTACCCTACCAAATTACAGCAATTTAGCTGTGGTCTTCTGAAAGGTGAAGGTTTTCGAAATTATTTCAGGTAATCATGAGTCTGCAAATTGCATGCATTTTAGTTGTATTGCGAGTCGGTATGATTATATAGTAATCAGGCATACATCGTTTGTTATTCATGTAAGGGGTACTAAGAATTTTGTGACCAATTTCCTTTCTTAGTCAGATGCTTTTTATTATTTTGGAAATATTTTTTTAGCTTTTAATGCAGACTGTGCGGTACCGTGATTGTATGAAAGGATCAATTAAAAAAAATTCAACAATACTTCTTAAGGTAAGTCGAAATCCAGAAAGTATTCAAAAACCCATAATTTTAACAAATTCTATTGCGATCATATCTGTATAGCAACATAGGATATTTAACCATAACATGTAACCAAGCATACAGCCCTTCTGATGGTAAACGATCTTACTTTTTTTTTTTACACAATTTAGAATGGCAAACAAGCTGACGGCCCACCTGATGGAAAGCGGCAACCGTCGCCTATAAACATGAGCAGTACCGTGGACATAACAGAGTATACTGTTTGGCCCATGATACCCCCCATGCGTTGCCATTCCTGAGGAGTCAGGTGTTATTCCTCTGTACCCAGTAAATTCACGCCATATCCCACCTTTCAAACCGAAACACAGCTATGTAAACACAACTGCTTCACGGTTGAAACACGAATAGGACAGAGGTGTCCAAGCAATCGACTTTTGTACAAAGTCTCCTTGGGAATGATGGGAAATATTAAAAAATATATTTTTTTATATGATATGTATAATGTAGATAATATGAGTATTATATGTATGCTTATTTATATTATATTTATTTGCTTATCAACTAGCACCATCAATTATGTTTTCTGTTATTCCTGTCTACGGTAGTAAGGTGGTGTTAAGTCCGCCATTTACGATGTCTATGTAGATTAAAGTTTATTAAAAAAATAAATAATGAGGGGTTTCAATAATACCAATAGATACCATCTATTGTTTCGGCTTCATGCAAAAACTACTGCATCAAAATGGATGCGGTTTTCACAGTTGTATTCCTGGAGGTCTAACTTACAAACTAGTGTATGTTTTACACTAGTTTGTAAGTTAGACCTTAGTACATCATCTAAAGGTGGTGTATTTTTTTAGTTTAATTCTGATATCTACGCATACGATATTTCGTATGAGAAGTTAGTTACGTATAAAGATGTACCAGGACACCAGGATTTGCTCTACTTGAAAAATTTCAAGTGTCAACTTTAAGTGAATATAATAAATCGGTTCTAAGCTAAAAATAAATCATTATACTAGTGTCATCACATCTTTGATATCTCTTCAGATGAGCTGAGGTTAATAGCGGCATCCAAAAATAGCTTGTAAAAAAAATAGTACACTTATAACTGTTTTTCGTCTATATCAGGTAAAAATAATTTGAGTTAAAACCGTTACTGAAGTTCTAAAATATAATATTTACACATAATTTATTTCTATCATGTGAACTGTTTGTGAATGTTAAAATAACTGGAATGTGTTCTGAAGAACTCTTAGATATGATGCTTACAGACACGTTTTTTTTGTTTTTAACCTCTGGAAAATGCTTTATGCAGACCCATACACCTTGTGGGAGGTGAATGGGTACTGTGGGAATCCCCTCGCAAGGTGGGGGTGTACCTACCAAAAACCAGACGATATACTCTCGAGGTGATATGTCGGAGACATGGGTTCGCTTTCGCACTCTCATTACATCTCCGACGGCGATGCTTACAGCCACCTGTCATCATCACACCGCTCGCCATCGGCAAATCCTTACACCCTAGAACCAGAATGATCACGCACAGTGCAGTTTTAGAGAAGCTTCCTCCTGCGAACATACAGGTTGTGAAATGACCTTCCTGCCAAGCTTTTCTCTAGAGACTACAGCATGGGGTTCTTCAAAAAGGGAGTATTAAAGGAGTATAAAGGTCGGCCACGTGCGTGTGACATCTCTAGTTTTACTAGCTAAGATAACGACGTTTAAACAACGTTTATAGACGGGACCGTATGTTTATTAGCCACTATAGTATTTTTTTTTGGTGGATGAAAATGAAATGGAAACCCCGCCTGCGCTAATGGGATACCCTGGCGGAGCACCGGTGAAGTGTGATTGATGAGAATGAAAACAGGCCAGTTAGCCTATCATGATGAATTCATCAGGAATTAATCATGATAGTTTCCAGGGGGAACCACGAGGCGGTCGACCTGGTTGGGTATATTGCTAGCAATGGGATTTTTAGTCTCCATTACTAACAACCCCTTTCCCCCCAGTCACTATAGTAGTATAAAAAATCTTTTTTATCAGAGATTGCATTAGATTCCTTACTTCTGTAACAGAAATACAACACAAACTTTATGTTATTTAACAAAGCAAAAGGCTCCAGGAGGCGGCGGTAGGGTCGCCTCCTAATAAATTGGATTCAAATATGCTTGTCGAAATGTAGGCAGGTCAAGTGTTACTTTCACTACATAACGATCGAAAAATGCCTCTAATTACTCCTTAATGGATTAAGTCATGGTCCTTTTTTGTTATAATTCATAGTAGTCATAGAGGAGTTAGTGAAATGGTGTGTTAAAAAGGTTGCTATTATGTCCTATAGTAGCTATTGACTTTTTGACATTTACTAATTGGTCAATTGATGTTATTCGGAATGATTTGCAGCAAACGGAACGTTCTAAAATATAAATCCATATGGCAATAACGTAAAAATCCGAAATGTCATCGGTCCTTTATATATCGTTCTGGTCGAATATACATAGATGAGTAAAGAATGAGAACAGAATACAATATGTACACAATTTTTAGAATAAGCAAGAAATATAAAAAAATCACAATACAAACACAATTTTTGGAATAAGCAAAGAATGGAAAACAAACTGATAGTTTTCCTAATGGAATCTAGCAATGATTAATTTGTCACCATTTCCTGATGAATCCCACTGAAATAATTATGATATATACAATACTTTATACCACAAAGGTGGCAAACAAACATACAGTCCGTCTGATGGTAAACGATCACTGTAGCCTATGGACGCCTGCAACACTAGTTGTGTCACGTGCGCGTTACCGACCCTGAAGAAACCTTAATATACCCTTTTTGAAGAACCTTACACTGTAGTCTCACGAGAAAACCTCGGCAGGGAGCTCATTCCACAACATAGGAGAAAATTTCTCTGTAATTAATAATGAATATAATACTTATAGTATGTATTTCTGATATGTTGTTACCTTAGAGAAGGAAAACACTCCAGTCCTTACTAAAGGGTTTTGGCTTTTTTTTTTTATACAACTTAGAATGGCAAACAAGCTGACGGCCCACCTGGTGGAAAGTGGTAACCGTCGCCTATAGTCATGAGCAGTACCATGGACATAACAGAGTATACTATCAGAAATTGTATAAGATTGTGCAATATAATCAAATTAAACAAAACTCTGCTTAATATATTTTTTTTTTTGCAAAAATAGGTACTTAATTTAGTATGTGACCAACACAAAAATATAAAAATCTCCCCTTTTTTGAAATCGGTTAAATAGTTAGCATTTCAATATTAAATTAAAAAAAATTAGAAAATAACTGGAAAACATATTTTTCAAGGACACCTTTGTGTTGAAATCATCATTATTATAAATGGTGAAAGGACGTCAACCTCGACCTTCCAACCCATCACCTTCTACGCAGCCGGCAGGCGGAAAAACACATTTCGAACGCATTTTCACGATCCATATCACGGTCTTAGGAGGTCGGGCGAATTTGCATGTTTTGTCACAGGGGGCGCCCAAGAGAAGGCGGCGCGAGGGTGGCCGCTAGGGGGCGTCGCGTGCGCGCCACGCGCCACTTCCGTAGGGGGAAGCGGCCTCGATTCAAGATCAGATATTGAAAGAATACGAAGGCTTGACCATGGTACGTAACTCTCTTCGAACATGACCTGGGCTACTAAATGCACAAAGGTTTTAAACTGAAATTTCATTTAAAAACGTTATTTTTGTATTGCAATTGGGAATTATTTTGTGCGTTTCAAATTTTATGGTAAATTTCATGATAAAATTCATTCAGATCCGTTCATTATTCCATGATACGACCGAGAACACTTTGATTTTTGTATCTGAGAGATACAGATTTGAATCCAGTCGGATCTAATTGTTGGAAGACAAAATTGTAATTGTTAGTAATGTGGGTCAGCGTCTTCATTACTAGCAATATACCCTATCAGGTCGACCTCCACGTGGTCCCACCTGGAAAGCGTAATGATTATTTTTGGGAAAATTCATCATGATAGGCTAGCTAACCTAACTTCACCCACACCTATCGTTTGCCACTAGCAGCCCTCCAGTGAATACCGGTAATGTAGGCGGAGTTAGTTACCATTTCATCTCTAAAAAACATCAGCGGAGTATAAAAATGATGGTAAACTTATTTCCTGCCATGTTAGCGAATGTTACGTTCAACACAATGACTATTGTCGATAATTGCCTCTGACTACCCTGTTATACTATTATTATATACTGTTATAATATTATTAGTATTATAGTCGTTAACATATTTTAATAAATCTTAGTTACAAATAGGCATAGATAATATGGATACCAATCCTATATCTATATATTAGGTTTCTCTGAGCATAATGTCGGAAAAAAGGTTATCGCCTATTCCGATATCGTCCATATCGATCGGATCTCTATTTTCGAATATGTTAAAAGTCTGTTATCTAATATTATTTTTGGGATAACACACTTTTAACATATTCGTTATTGTACCATTATATAGATATTGTAATTAAAATATATAGATATTGCCATATCGTCACAGTCGTAGAATACCGACGGATTTTTATATGTAATATTTGTCAGATCCGTCAGTATTCTACGACTATGACGATATATTACCTACCCCTAGTTACAAATAAGTAATTGTTAAAGGTGCACAATGAACTTAACTAATTTTATAAATATATTTTTTTAGAGAAATATAATACATGTAATTTAAAATCAAGGATAAATTATTTTCTCCATGTTCATGTCCATCATCAATAAAAAAAAATGTACTCGTATTTATAAACAAATATTATGTCAAGTCTCTTATCATCTCTTATCAATTAATATGTCGTAGGAAAACGTAAACATAAGGGATTTCTTGAAAAATATTTTTTTTTTATATACAACTTAGAATGGCAAACAAGCTGACGGCCCACTTGATGAAAAGTGGTAACCGTCGCCTATAGACATGAGCAGTACCATGGAGATAACAGAGTATACTGTTTCGCCCATGATACCTCCCATGCGTTGCCATTCCTGAGGACTCAGGTGTTATTCCTCTGTACCCAGTAAATTCACGCCATATCCCATCCTTCAAACCGAAACACAGTCATGCAAACACAACTGCTTCACGGTTAAAACACGAATGGGACAGAGGTACCCAAGCAATCGACTTTTGTACAAAGTCTCCCTCTGGTGAACCAAACGTCACTTAAGCTGTTTGAATTTTGACACGTCTTTGACTTTAGGCCTGGCCCATAAAAGGATTTTGACAGTAATTGCCTTTGGTGATGTTTTAATACATTAAAGGTGGGGCGAAGGGATTGTAAGTAATGGGGAGGTTAGTCCCCATTGCTATCAATATATCCTACCAGGTCGACCTTCACGCGATTTCCCCTGGAAACCATCGTGACTAATTTATCGTTGAATTCGTCACGATGGGCTAACTGACCTGCCTATTCATCTTCACCAATCATCCCTCACTGGTTTCCCGCTAGTGTATACCGATAGCACAGGCAGGGTTATCATTCCATTATCACCCATTAAAAAAAACACATTATAGATGGGGAATCTTGACGAAAGTATGCTAGGTCCCGCGGCGACCGCCCCGCCTCGTTTTTCATCCTGAAGCGAGCGATATTTTGTGTAATTATTAAAAAAAACTACACTTTAAAAAGTTTATTTAAACTCTTAAAACTAAATCGTAATTCAGTCGTATTACTACGACTCTCGCTTTTAAGCTACAGTCGAGATAAATCGTAGTACTTCGACTCCCACCTTTAATGTGTTAATATGGGCGCTGTTGCTTATCTCTTGAGTAATGGTAAACCATGGACAAGGGAAGGGAAGGACAAGGGAAAGCCCATTCTATGCCGAGACCACACGGCATTAGAATTTCGATTACACCCTATATATCGTTGTACCCAAAAATCATTCAAGAGGGGGAGGGAGATCCAAGGGAGCCCGCCAGCGTATATATTAGCGCAGGCGGAGCTACCATTCCATCGCCATCCATTAAAAAAAAATCCGAAAATCATTACCCTCCTTTCTGCCGCAGTCGGTTAAAAGACAAATACAAAGTTTTTAATTGATGCAGCAACAGTAGTGGGGAAACGATAACCGACGAGATATCATTGTCACTGCTATAACGTACCGCGCTATCATTCGTACTCGTGCGCAGGCGCAGCCGCCAATATAATGTGGAGTTCAAGAGTTTCATACGGCGTAAGAGCGAATTATTTGAACAAGTTGCGGTAAGTCTTTATTATATTTAACTTAATGTTTAAAAATTCTAAAGTAAACGTCAGAAACATTCATATATCATTAGCTATAGATATATAATCAGCTGTTTGTAATTTTATATTTATAGAGTATTTGTATTGTATTAACCGTTAGCTGCCCATTGCTGAACATAGGCTTTTCCATAAGGAGGGTTTTGCCAGTAGTTGCCATGCTTGGCAAGGGTTTTGGCAACTGCAGTTTGGCTTCTGGTGATTTTTTAAGGGGGACGCTGCTGCCCATCCCTCCACCATAATCTCTCTTACGACACCAACGGAAAAGGAAGGGGTGGCCTATTCTAAGTCGGGACATACAAGGCAATTTTTTTTATATTTTTCTTATTTTTAGAGTACAGTAGCTATTTCGGATGCGTATTTCTTTTAATTTCTATAACTTTTTTTTAACGCATATTTAATTCAATATAACTTATTCTGAAAAAAATATCATAATTAGTTCAGTCGTGCCATTACTCGAAGTACCGAAAACCCGATGTGGATAAAAAGGTTCTTGAATGGCGACCTCGTACGCGCAAAAACAGTGTAGGACGACCTCCCAATAGAAGGAGTTAAAACCTCAAATACATAGAGTCGATGAATGCAAGTGACTCTGGAACCTTCCATATGGGGGAGGCCTATGTTCAGCTGTGGACAGATAACGGATGATGATGATGAGTTCAGTTATTTTATGTGAATCGTGAATACATAAACAGAGAATTAAGATGAAGTTAAAAAAACCGACTTCAAATGTGGCGAAACCAGTTATTTTTATTTTAAAACTAAAGTACTAAATCGATTTTGATAAAATTGAGACTATGTGACCAATCTGAAAGTATATAATATATTCTTTATTGCACTTGTAAATTACATTGTTAATGCATTTATAAATATTGTGAGCAATGGCGAACTTATCTCTGACAGAGATCTCTTCCAGTCAACCCGATACAGCTGGAAAGCATGACGTTAGCGGGCAGCTGGTAACAAATGTACGAAGGTATATCCTTTCAGATAAAAAAAAAATACAAATCTATTTACAACTGACAGAGTTATGGGATAATAAACACAAAAAAAAAAACAAACGAATTAAGAACCTCCTTTTTTCTTTTTTTTTGAAGTCGGTTATATGAATTGTAAAATGTTATCGATTTTGGTTCAGTGTCGCAAATCCTTATAAATATTTTCAAAAATATTAATCATAACGAAGTCAAAATTGTATAATATATTTTATTAAATACCTACGTATTTTATGTATATTTATATTTATCTATATGACCAGAGGGAGACTTTGTACAAAAGTCGTTTGCTTGGGTACCTCTGTCCCATTCGTGTTTCAACCGTAAAGCAGTTGTGTTGGCATGGTGGGAATGGCGTGAATTTACTGGGTACAGAGGAATGACACCTGAGTCCTCAGGAATGGCAACGCGGGGGTGGGGGGGGGGGGGGGGGGGGGGGGGGGTATCATGGGCGAAACAGTAATAGGCGATGGTTACAACTTTCCATCAAGTAGGCCGTCAGCTTGTTTGCCATTCTAAGTTGTATAAAAAGGATTATATTTAATATAGATATATAATTAACAATGTTTACATGAAGTGTATTAACTATTTTATTTGTGATATACTAACTAAGTTATATACACGATTACAACTATATAACGTGATAATAACAATCGATGACATGAGTTTAGTTGTTCATTAATATGCCCGTTTGTGTCTGCTGTTTATTACGTAAGTACTGATCAAAATATATTTACTTATTAATTATGTATCCGCTATTAACTATTGTAGTTCTCATTACCATTACATTACCATTGGAACTGTTCATGAATCGGGCGTTATATTTTTTTTTTTTGATGGGTGAAAATGACATGGTAACCCCGCCTGCGCTAACGGGATACGCTGGCGGAGCACCAGTGAAGGGTGATAGATGAGAATGAAAACAGGCCAGTTAGCCCATCATGATGAATTCAACAGGAATTAACCATGATAGTTTCCATGGAGAACCGCGAGGAGGTCGACCTGGTTGGGTATATTGCTAGCAATGGGATTCTCAGTCTCCATTACTAACAATCCCTTTTCCCCCTCCGGTGTTATATTGCATTATATATTTAAGTGATAATTACTTACCAAATGCTTTCATAAAATTTTAACCAATTCCATTGATCGGTTATTTTATAGTATTTTATATGTGATTCCTTAGACTGATACAACTTTTTTATTTATGAACCGATAAAAATAAAACAAACAATAAATGTTAAGTGAAGTAAACCGCAATATATTAGTGTAAACCGGATTGAAATCGGTTAAGCTTTTCTGAGATTAGCGTGCACAAACGTTCAGACAAACTCTTTTCTCTTGCGTTTATAAAGCTCCCCTATAATAGTTTTTTCTTATATATCTTCCATGTACAGACAGCGACCAGATACGATTTCATTATATGTATATGTTCCAGTCAAAACTCTTAAAAAGTCAAAAGTATGCTTTAGTTAATTTTTAATTTTTTTTTATTTTATTTTATACAAAAATCCACAGCTCTTAAAAAATAACTTACATGCTAAGTCTCTTATGAATACAGCCAATAACGGATTTTACTTATACAAACAAAAATTTTGATTCCATAGCGAAGTAGGCAAGTAGAGTGGGTGTATGCGAGTAATATAAGCACATGTATGAAAGGAACCATATATAATAGTGAGTGTCCATAAAGTTAAGTTAATTGATATATAAAATAATTAAAATTCATGTTGTTAAAGTTCAGATATTGACAGCAATGATTAAATAATACAAATTCATGGTCACCAATTGTAAAGAGGGTTAAATGTATGCGTGGGTGTATGTGTAGTGTGATATAAATAAATGTATAATAGTATGATATAAATAAATGTAAATATGTAGTGTATATACGTGCATGTACATCTATGCAACATAGGTAATTATGATATCGTTTCATCCATTATCACAGCCCTGAATTTATATCTACTGAGGTGGAATAAATCAACTGTTGAAAAAAGTTTGTTATATGAATTCATTAGACGACAAACTATTGAGTTCTGAGAGTAGTTGGTAATTGGTTAATAAGAGTTTTGACTAAAATAACAGTTAAAAGTACCTTTTTTACGTGGGGAAATCCTCAAACTAACCTAACTGCAAATTTGCTAACCAATAATTTTCAGTCTAAACCACTTTTGACCAACAATCAAAAGTAGTTTTGACTGGTTAAGAGTTTTAACTGTAACATATGTATTGATTGATTGATCGATTGATGTATTTGTTCCGACAATGTTAATAATTTTAATTTTCCTCTCTGTCTAAGGAAATTAAATGCACGCCTACATTGCTGCGGAAAAAGATATGGGCTGTAATTTCTTTCTGATGTACCATGTGTAAAATATACTTTATACAAACAAATAAATTAATTCAAATTCAAATTACACATCTGTACATAGCAAATTCTGAGTATATTCGGCACATTTTCTTTCTTGTTCATGTTTTATTTGGTTTATTTTAGGGCGGTCCGACATTTGCAATCGGGTGTTAAAGACAGCTACCTAAAGAATCCAGGATCTGAACCGCTGACAACAGCAACACTTGGCCAAGTACTAGCGGAGACTGTGAACAAGTACCCCGGAAGAGTAGCCATACGATCAGTTCACGAAGATGTTACCATCACATACGAGCAATTGTTAAATCAGGTAACAATTAATATTCTTATTTGTTTTTAAAATGTAAGTCTTTAACAGAAATCTTCATATACAATAAATTTTGTATTATTATTTTTATTACATCAGCCCTTAACTGTCCACTGCTGAACTTTGTTCACTGCTGGCCTTTCCCATAACGAGAGTTTTGCCAGAAGCTGTCAGGCGTTTGACAGGCGAGCTGGCAACCATAATTAGGCTTTGATATTTTTTTTATGTAACTTAAAATAACAAAGAAGCTGATGTAAAGTGGCAACCGTCGCCTATAGATATGAACAGTACCATGGACGTAACAGAGTATACTGTTTCGCCCATTTGTTGCCGTTCCTGAGGACTCAGGTGTTATTCCTCTGTATCCTGTAAATTCAATGCCATATCCCACCCTTCAAACCACCGTTCGACTATTAAGTTCCCTTAGTCGCCTCTTACGACACTAATAGGAAAAAAGGTTGGCCCTTTCTATTCCGAGATTACATTGTTAATTGATAAATAGGAATTACTTACTTCAAGTGTCTATGAGGAAGGCCTATGTTTAGCAGTGGATAGATAACAGCTGATATGACGATGATGATGCCTATGTTTGGTTGAATGATAATTATTTCCACTTCATCCGAAACAAAAATATTTTTTTATTCCGAAAACTTTTGACTGAATGCCAAACGAAACACACCAGTGAAGGAGAATCTTATTAAAAAACCTAAATTAATTCGAGTGGTGATGATTTCTTTATGGGTGATATTGGAATTTATCATTCCATAAATCCAAATATCGTGACGAATTTTACAAGAATTAATCATAATGGTTTCCAGAGGAAACCGCGTGGAAGTCGATTTGACAAGGTATATTGCTGGAAATGGGGCTATTAGAACCTATCACTAAAAGTTTCTTTGCCCCGAGTGATGATGGCAGGTGGTAAAAGTAATGTAATTATATCAAGTGTTATATATGTTCACCACAGCAGTAGCAGACAAATGTCTCTGATTACCCCACCAGGAATATCAGTCGTAAATACCTATATTTACTGGTTTATTTTGGACTAAAGATTAGACTTTTTTATCTGTATTCCAATGACACTTAAAACAAAATACATTTTAGTTACTAGTATTTATTTTAAACATTACTATCTGTCTGTTGTTATCTTGAGAAAACCACTTCATCACAAAGCGATAATATACTCGTATCTTATATAATATTTAGACATCATATGAGTATGTTATTATATTTATATATATTTTACGCCTCATTTATCTTTCATTGAATGAATTTGACAATCAATTGTTTTTATGTACATTTGTATGTTTGCACTCTTGCATTACTTGCATATTAGTCGATAAACGATGAATTAATAAAAACTCTTTATTGTTTCGTTCAAAGAATGATACACATTATAAAGATTAACAACATGTAAACAAACAAAATTCGTAATTAATTATATAAACTTAATTACATAAAAGCAAGATAAAGAGGCAACAATGGGCGCCAATCTATATATATATATATATATATATATATATATATATATATATATATATATATATATATATATATATATATATATTATTGTATATATTTTTAATTTGTAAAAGATACTTTTTTAATAATACTATCTTTTTTAATAGTACTATCATACCTACTTGTACAACAACTAGTCCATTACCTTAAGGTTGTCTTGAAAAGATTGCTCTCAGCAATAAGACCGCCTTACTGCACTTATACAATTGTATTGTTGTGTTTGTAAATTGTCTTGCTTATACTTTATTTGCATTATACAATATAGGAAATATTGTATAATGCAAATAAAGTATATTCATTCATTCATTAATTCTTTTACTTTAGGATATAAAAGTTTTACGATAAAAAATTTAAGTCTTCCTTCTAAATACAACCGTGTGGTCACAGCATAGAATGGGCCATCCCTTCCTTTCCCATGAGTGTCGAAAGAGACGACAAAGTGACTTTAATGGTCGAGGGATGGGCAACAGCGTAGCTCTTAAAGCATCACCAAAGCCTAACTAAAATTAAATCAGTATGAAAGTTCAAACATTATGTAGTTTTTGAATTTTTAATTCACGAAATTTCTGTCTTAATAATTTCTGTGTTATTCTATAAGATGGGTAACATTTTTAGTACCATTAACCCATTCGAATACATATATAATATATAATTATACTGATAATAAAGGTAAATACATACTTTGGGTGGTAATGAAATCTTCTTTCAACAAACTGAGGGTCCACTTGATATAAAGTGGTAACCGTCGCCTATAGACATGAACAATACCATGGACATAACAGAGTATTGTTTCCCCCATGCATTTCCATTCCTAAGGACTAACGATATTATTATTATTTATAATTTAATCAAAAGAATAGAAATATAGCGGAACAGATTTGTCGTTGGTGTTGTTTTTTTAACTACAGATTAATATAAATAGCTGTCAGCATAGAGTATACATATATATTTTTTTTATTTATTAAACTATTTACAACGAGTACCAGCATGACATACATATATTAATACGACTATTCTATCGTAGATAATTTGTATCATTACTATGTATTTAGAACATTATTGTAGTTTGTAATTAAAAGGCAATAAACATTAAATGATTTTATAACATAATTATGGTTTTTAATATAATGGAAGCTATAGTTAACTACTGCGTGTCGATGCAGATAACTAATTGGCTTATTTTTTATAATACTAGTTGCCCACTCTGGCTTCGCATATGTGTGAAATGTCATTAGATTTTCCGTACGATTTTTCGAAATTAATTTTATTTCATACAGTTTTTTTCATTTACATTTACAAAAACATAGAAATTAAAATAAGAATTAGCCAAATAGACACAGCCATTTTGATTGAATACGTTTACGTCTAAGACTTGCAAACATTCGGCAATAGATATTTAAAAAAAAATCTACAATGAAATAGTCGTATTAATACAGGTTATTATTAACTTTTAACCTAATTTTATTTTTACTTTTTTATAATATAATATTTCTTTATGAAAATTTTGTTTATCTACTAATAGGCTAAATTTGACACCCTAATCCACAGTCATGGTCATCGTCTACTTCTAACTATCTTGTAATAAAGTTACACCGAAAACCTTTTAGTAAGTCAAAATTAACTTACTAAAGATTACGAACTGCTATATACTACAAATTTTGCATAGAATATATTTCCAATTTTATATATTTATATACGTAGTACATCTGTATGTACTATGTATATAACCTTATTATCGTAGATTCGACGATTTATAAGAGAATTATTTTTTTCCATCACTGTTAGTCAGTGTTAGTTGCAAATTTAAATTGACCTGAAAGTTTTTTGTATCAGTCAGATTCTAACTTATGAAACCTGGGGGGAAAGGGATTGTGAGTAATGGGGTCTAACTGACCCATTGCCAGCAATACACCTTATCAGGTCGACCTCCACGCGGTTCCCCCTGGAAACCATCGTGGTTAATTCTAGCAGAATTCGTCACGATGGGCTAACTGACCTGCTTTCATCATCACCTGTCATCCCTCATTGGTGCTCCGTCAGCGTATACTGATAGCGCAGGCGGAAGAATCCATTCTATTATCATTCATTAAAAAAAAAACTCATGAAACCTTCAGTCTAGTCAAGAAAGACGATGTTTTTATATTCTTGTACAATTGCAGGCGGATTCTTTGGGATGTGCATTACGAGCCCAAGGGCTGCAGAAGGGCGATAGATTGGGTCTGTGGAGTCACAACGCCGCCGCGTGGCTCGTTACTTATGTGGCAGCAGCTAGAGTCGGACTTATACCGGTAAGATTTTGCGTTATATTTATCATCTGAACGGACGACACGACGAACTTATGAACATTATAATAGAAAGTTAGGTAGAAGGAAGGAGGGGAAGAGGGAGATCAAAACATAGTTACTTTAGACAGATCAAGGAAAAAGTTCAAGTATCAAGACGTGAAGAGACTCACTTACCAGAAGGAGACTTTGTATAAAAGTCGTTTGCTTAGGCACCTCTGTCCCATTTGTGTTTCAACCGTAAAGCAGTTGTGTTTGCATGACTGTGTTTCGGTTTGAAGGTTGGGATATGGCAGTGAATTTACAGGGCACAGAGGAATAACACCTGAGTACTAAGGAGTATCATAGGTGAAACAATTTATACTGTCCATGGTACTGCTCATGTCTATAGACGACGGTTACCACTTTCCATCGGGTGGACCGTCAGCTTGTTTGCCATTCTAAGTCGCATAAAAAAAGACTCGCAGAAAATCGTAGTGACTGGCAAGAGCTCCTTCGACAAGAGCGCGGCTTTTAAATGGAATAGAATATCATTTGGCTCATCCACTAATCTATAAGTTTTATTATTATTTTATTATTATTAACTATTAACTATAATGTAATCTGTGTTTATGATTACAATAATAATAAAAAATACTTTTAATAGTTGCTCAATTTTTGACACTTCATTCTTCGGTTCTTTGAGACTTACAATGCATATAGTGTGTGCAGCCAATGGTTAATGCTTTATATTACTTAGGTAGGACTGTCACATGTATCAACATCACCGTCATCATCACAATCCATTGTTCACTGCTAAACATCGGTCTCCCCCATATTACGCCACAAAGAATGAATGAATTAATTTAAATAATAAAAAATTAATGACAATTTATTTCAATAATTTACAACACTTACATATACTTAAATTGCAAGTAATAACAAGATTAAAAAAAGGAGATAAAAAGTTTACATTTATATATAAAGTGTAATTGAAATTAGTCAGTGTTATGAAAATAAAAAAGGATGCCAATTCAGCTTAAAATTTCTGCAGAAGCAGAAAGCAAAGCACGATCCAGCGTCATTTGCATCCAGCGACTCCCTGCAACTTTCTTAAGATCGTCACACCATCTTGTCTCACTACCTTTCTTGCAAAGTTCGCCACTTTTGAACCTTTGTTCTCCACTAGTTATCGGTTACTCGAATTATATACCATTATCATTGTTTACGTATGTTTGTTATTATCAAATGTTTAAACACATTAAATAATTTTAATAGTATGCAGTGGTTAATATAATATTTATTGGTCACCTTAAATCAACTGAAAAATACTAATAACGTTCAATTTATTATACAATAAACCGTTAATTTATACATGGCTTAGAATGGGCCACCCCTTCCATTCCCGTGGGTGTCGTAAGAGGCGACTAAGGGAACTTAATGGTTGAGGAATTAAAACATCTTAAAACATCACTGAAGCAGGGGAAGAAGGAATTGTTAGTAATGGGGATTAACCTAGTGCCATATCAGGTCGACCTCCTTGCGGTTTCCCCTGGAAACCATCGTGATTGACTTATTGTTGAATTTGTTACTGACCTGCTTCATTTTCACCTATCATCCCTCACTGGTGCTCTGTGAACGTATACCAATAGCGCAAGCGGAGTTACCAATCCATTATCATGTCTTAAAAAAATCACTAAATCTTAACTGCGGTTGCTAACCCGCCTGCCAAGTGGGGCAACTACCAGTAAAACCCCCCTTATGGGTGAAACTTATGTTCAGCAGTGGACATCTAATGGCTGGAATAATGATGATGACACATTTATATATTTCCAGGTATTATTGAATCCCGTATATGAAAAACCGGAGCTCAGTTTTTGTATAAAAAAGACTGGAATAAAAGGTTTGCTTATAAATGACAAGTTGCCGAACAAAGACTATTATGGGATGCTAAGAGAAATGATACCTGAGCTGCAAACTTCAAAACCAGGCGCTCTCAGATCTGATGTCTTCCCAACACTGACTACTGTAATCACAGCTGGCAAAGAACAGTTGCCGTGAGTATTGACAAGTTTACAAATATTTTTTTGCCTGATCTATAATTAAATAGAAATTTATTATTTGCCAAAAAACACAAAGTTATAAATACAAGATACAATGGGCCGCACACTAGGCGAACCGTGTATCGTGGGCACCCGACAAAGATTAACAATTCACAACGTGTTATATTATTATTAATATAAAAAAGCGGGGGGAAGGGATTGTTAGTAATGGAGACTGAGAATCCCATTGCTAGCAATATATCCAACCAGGTCGACCTCCTCGTGGTTCCCTCTGGAAATGTATATTAACCAATCATGGTTAATTCCTGTATCACATCAGGAATTAACCATGATTGGTTAATTCTTGATAAATTCATCAAGATGGGCTAACTGGCCTGTTTTCATTCTCATCTATCACCATTCACTGGTGCTCCGCCAGCGTATGCCGTTAGCGCAGGCGGGGTTACCATACCATTTTCACCCGTCGAAAAAAAAAATATAAAAAAAGGAATACAAGATTGAAATAGTGATCATTGCTGATAAATTTATTCATACAAACAGACAACATTTTACCAGTCTCCCTCTGGTGAAGTACACGAAGTGCTTTGGTTTAAATATCGGAAAATTAATAATATTAATATTTACTATTTCAGCGGAACATTATCATATGATTCTCTGATCACATACAATAACAACGATGCTACGAAATACGGCGCGGAAATTAAACCTGAAGAGGGATGCATCATCCATTTAACTTCTGGCACAACAGGTAAGAATATTCATATATTAAAAATTAATAATTAAATGTTATTATAGGCTGTGGGGTCTCGGCAAGAATAGGTCAACCCTTCCTTTCACGTGGGTGTCGTAAGAGGCGACTAAGGGGATTTAATGGTCCACGGATGGACAGCAACGTCTCTCTTAAAACATCACCAAAGATTAACTACGGCTACCAACCCTTCTGCCAAGCGTGAAAACTACTGGCAAAACTCTCCAAGGTCTTTCTACAGCAGTGGACAGTTAAAGGCTGATATCATCATCACCATTCATTATAGGTATACTTACAATGAAATTCCGTAACCATCGTGGCGTAGGCACTTTGCTTCGCGTAAACGAGGTCCCAGGTTCATTTCCTAGCTGGGCCAATTTAGGAATAAATGTGTTTTGAGTTGTGGCCTTAGGTATCCGTTATTTAGTATCCCAAAATATAGGATATTCTAGCTTATGGACCGGGTCATTGGTATGTATTATATTATATTATTATAATTACCTCATTTATCACTGTTCAGTTGGCTAGAGGAGATCTCTTTCGGAGATAAGCCCACCCTTGCTCATAATATTTACCTATATAACGGGCCTATCTTTGTAATTTACAAGTATAATAAAGCATACAGATTATTAAGAAAATTATTAGTATGGGGGCCTTCTGAACGTGAATGTTCTCATTTAAAAAGCATAATATAAATACTGATTTAAAAAATAGAGTCGAAATAGGAATCTCCACTTTTATTGAAGTTGGTTAAAGTTAGCCCAACAGTTAGTGTTAGTAGTATTATATTATCTGTGCCATCACTGACGTCATTACATACGAATTTTTTGTTGACGTCAGTCCGAATTAATACATAAGACCGTCATATCGACGCTGGAAAGGCAAAATGTATTAACCGCCATTTATAATAAACTAGCATTTGCCCACGACTTCTTAGTCGTGAATATTGGAAGTTCACTGACTTCCAAAATCCTATTTGTAAGGGTTACCAAATTTCAACCTTTAAAAGTTACAAAATTTACATTACTACATTCAATCAATTAATCATCTTTATTCATATACATCTGTTACAGATTCTTATGATACCTCACTTTATATTTATAATAATTATTATATAAAAAAATATTAATTTAAAAAGAAATTATAATAATTACATTTACAATAATTGTATTGTAAATTACACATTAATACAATATTCAAATCCATGCAGTTTTGTCATTTAGATTGTCATTTATTTTATAATATGCACATTATAACTTTGTACATTACAACAAATCATTGTACATTACAAAATTTTATTTACATTAGTTACTAAATTCAATCTGTAATGGTTAAACTTTAGAGGTTGAATTTTCAATATTTCTTTTTTATTGTTCACCTATGTTACATGAAGAATCTATCTACGTAATTTTAAAATTCTAGTTTCGGTTTTATGGTGTTGGGTCAGTCAGTCAATCAGTCAGCATTCTATTTTATATATACAGATTTGTACAAGAGAAAACTTTTTTTGTTATAAGGAGTTATAGAATAAGAAAACAAAGAGACAAAATGAGTGGTCGTATAGTAAATACGATTATTATAAAGAAAAAATTTAGAATTTTTTTTCTTTGTCACGAATAAACTAAAAAATACCGATTTAAAAAATTCTTTCACCTATAGAAAGTTACATCGTGAGCCAATAATATGGACCATATTTTATTAAAAAAAATAGATACTGTCTACATATTTTTTTTAATGAGTGATAATGCAATAGTAACCCCGCCTGTGCTAACGGTATACGCTGGCGGGGCACCAGTGATAGATGATAGATGACGATGAAAGCAGGTCAGTTGGCCCATCGTGAAGAATTCCACGAGAAGTAACTACGATGATTTCCAGGGGGAACCACGTGGAGGTCGACCTGATTAGTAACATTGCTAGCATTGGTGCTGTTAAGCCCCATCGCTAACAATCCCTTTCCCCCCACTGTCTACATATTTGCCTATATAATAAAAACAGAAATAACCAAATGTGTAATATAAATCAAAACAATAACTGTGATTAGCCATTTTGTTACTTGGCTGAATCTACACCAACTGTTATGATTAATTTATTTAATATTCGAAGCCAAAAAAATTTAATTAAATGATATACGACTATATATGAGTATATTCGTAACTAAAATTGGCGCTTTATACATTTTGTCTTTTCAGCGTCGACGTATTGGATATATTAAGAGCGTTCAAACGAAGTGTAGCAACAACGTTTTTTTTTTTTATACAACTTAGAATGGCAAATTTTCTGTAAATTTTCAAAAACAACTGAAGAATTTTCAATGTTTTCTATTGATTATTTAAACTAACTAATTAACTAACTTTAAGCGAACTAGAATAATAATCATGTAACATTTTTGTTTTTCCTCCACTTGTATTATACATTTGTAGAAACTTTAGTGCCTGTTAAATTATTATTTAAGTGTATAATAATGAATTGTTATAGCTGTTTGCCTTAAATAAATAAATTATTAATATTTTTATTAATCTGTCGCTGAAAATTTGGATTTTGACGGCAAAAATGTATTCCGAAAAATGCCAAAGTAAAATATGAAGTAGCTGCAAAGACTTTAATAGTAGATTAATATGCAACGCATTCCACGATTAACGTTTCTCGTTCGCTAATTGAACACTTTTCATATTCGGAATCATTAAAATTTTTAAAAATTAGCTGATAAATTCGGCGTTTTTTTTTAATGGCAACCCCTCCCGCGCTAACGGTATACACTGGCGGAACACCAATGAGGGATGGCAGGTGAGAATTAAACTGCAGGTCAGTTAGTCCATCGTGATGTATACACCTAGAATTTAGCACAATGGTTTCCAAGGGAAGCACGTGGAGGTGACAGTGTGGATTCTTAGCAATGAGACTGGTAGTCTTCATTACTAACAATCCCTTCCTCCATAATTGCGACGTTGCCACACTTCGAAAAATAAGTTTTGAACTAAGAACAAGGAATTATATAGAAGGAATGATAAAATAAAAACTGTAAATCATATGATGTTATACGTTATACGGCCGTATAACCCTACCAAATTCAGGTACAACCTACTTGTATACTTTCTACATAAACTGTGTCGAATATATAATCTAGTAATGTAAAAGTTGTCATTGAGATATGACATATCAAACATTTTTTATACACTAGCCTGCTATGAATTGAGAAAAATAGCAATGATGGTGTATCTTTCGTCCTCTCTTTACTGATTATATTTGCATAAGGAGAAAGGAGACAACCATATGATTTACAGTTTTTATTTTATCATTTCTTCTATGTAATTCCTAGTTTTTAGGTTATGAACTCTCTTAACTTTATTAATGGTAGTATCATACATAATACGCGTGTAATACGTTGTAGGCATTATCAACATCTAATACCGTCTAATTGATCCTAATCACTAATTGATTCTGTTGCTACCCAGGCACTATCAGTGGTTGCTACAGCTTATGATATCTACTCCATTATGGGAAATAGGTTATATGGCACTTTGAGGAATTAACGAGTGTTTGAACAAGAGTTAGTTAATATTAGTTATATATAATAATAAGGTCCACAGTCCTCTGGAATGGCAAAGCATAAAGGGTACCATAGACATCACAGTATATTTCGTGGTGATATTTATATCTATAATAAGCGATGTTTACAATTTTCTATCTGGTGGGCCGTAAGCTTGATGCTATTTTAAATTGTATAAAAAAACTGATTAGTAGTAAATTGTCCGTACCACATTCCAAATATTTGGAACGTAGAATGGGCAATTCTTTCCCTGATAAGTTGTAATCAAATTATTAAAAAATATTAAAAAAAGACTCAAATCTATCCAACTGTTTTCAAGTAATAAACGAGACTATCAACTAATAACTAAATTTAATTCTGATTTAATTTTATATTTGGCTTACATCTAAATAAAAAAGCTTAATAAGAATAATAAAAATAGAGGTACTGATCTCTTTATATGTTCTCTATTGGAATGTTTACTATTTGTTACTGTATAATCTAATTATTATTGTTTGTTGTACCATGTCGAATTGGGTCGTATCCTGTAAGAACGTGGAAACTAGGAAATAAAATAAATAAAAATAAATATTGTTTTTAATCGCACAGGTGAACCGAAAGCAGCATTGGACTCCCATAATAACGTAGTTAACAACACCTACTTCATCGGAAAGAGGAACTCCCTCCATGAAGAGCACCATCGAGTTTGTTTACAGGTATGTCCAAATTTTCAATTTTAAAGTAACAGTCCATGGTGTTGCCCGTGTTCGTAGGCGGCACTCACCACATTCCATCAGGTGGGCCGTCAGCTTGTTTGTCATTCCAAGTTGGATAAAAAAAAATCACAATCATCGTAAACCAATATTACCCCATTGTAAGGCACAAGTAACTTTTTTTAGGATTGCCAGATGTAATTTTTAATTTTTAATCAAATATAAATATTCATTTTTTCTCCACATAGATACGATTTCCTTTAAATCACAAACTTGTGTCGATTTTCTCTATGTTTTATCATCTAACCACAAAGTGACGACGAAAAAGAAGCTCCCTTTCAAATAATTTCTCTTATCCTCTGTGTTGCTACTTTTGTTGATATATGTATTTTATTGTTTAATTAAATACCGCATTCATAAATATGGAAACTTACACTAATTTCTTAAAGACCATTTCACTTCTATAGGAATTTAATTTCTTTCAAAAATATCACGAATAGAAATTTTTACCTAAAATTGCAAAAAAAGCGATAAACGCTGACTTTTATAAAGAGACATTAGACTACCATAACTAAGCTGGTTAATTGGCTTGGTATATGTTTTTATATAGCGTTTTCTTCCCTTGCACTGGAGTATAATGCTGAACTCCTTAGTCGTTTCGTACGATACTTTTGGGATGGAAAAGGTGAGGGTACATTATGTACGTAGGTACTATTCATCCTCAATATTATCATATTAGCCGTCCACTGCTCCTCCTATTGGGTGATTTGGTAGACCACTTTTGGTAGGCAGTTTGGCAACCAAAGATAGGCTTTGTTTTAAGAGGGACGCTGCTGCTCATTCCTCGACCATTAAGATCCTTTAGTGGCCTTTTATGACACCCACGAGAAAAAAAGGGTAGCCCATTCTATGCTGTGACCACACGGCGAGGTACCCAGAATCTATGAATTTTATCATAGATTTTACCCACTATAATAATGTCATTATAATTATTATGTATGTAGAATTTGAGTATACTTTTGTTGTTTTATTTTCTTTAATGTTTTATTGTAACTTCGAATGGCAAACGACCTGACGGTCTATTTGACGAAATTATGGAACTCACTGTTAACATGATGGTACCCTTTTACATTACCACGTACTAAGATATTATGCCTCCGTTTCCCGTTTTCATTGTTGTATTACATCCTCCAAAGCGAAAGATAGCCATGCAAGATCAGCTGCTTAGCTGCAGAAACAGGGGAAGTAAAGACTTTTTTATAAAATATAGGTACTAACATGACGTTTTATTCCTCAGGCGCCTTTGTTCCACGCGTTGGGGTCGATAGTAACAACCCTGGCAGGTCTAAGACACGGGAGTACATTGGTTTTAGCTGCTCCCAGCTATAACGTCCATTCAAACATCAACGCTTGGTTTGCTGAAAAGTTAGTATCAATAGTTATCATTGTTGATGCTTTATTTAATTACGATGCGAATGCAACTTTATCGAGGCGAAATTAGAGTTTAAAAACAATATAATTAGGTGTTTGCTATATTATTGACATATAACAGGGATAGCCAGGGGGGAAATGGATTGTTAGCAATGGAGTTTGACAGTCCCATTGCTAGCAATATACCTTATTAGGTCGACCTCCACGTGGTTCCCCCTGGAAACCATCGTGAACAATTCTTGTTGAATTCGTCACAATGGGCTAACTGACCTACTTCATCTTCACCTATCATCCTTCACTGGTGCCCCGCCGGTGTATACCGATAGCACGGGTGGGGTTACTATTCCATTATTATTAAAAAAAAAACAGATAGCCAATACACATGCTACAATTAAACATGGATCTCGTCCCATTATAAAGGAACAGAATGTATTCTTGGCATTAAATATGATATAGGGTTCTATTAACATATGTTTGCTTTATTACTTAGTAGGTTTTGGCGATATCGTTAAGATGAAAATGCGTGAGTTATATTTTCAATCCGGTACCACATTGAAATAAGGTACCATTTGTGAAGGCATAGCACCTTAGTTCACAGGAATGGTAAAGCATGAGTGATATCATGCACATTACAGTCTTCTGTAAGAGACTATCTCCATACATCATGGTTACCACGTACTCTTCGGTCAGGCCTTCAAGAAGATTTCTTAATATTAAAGTATGAATCTTATGCATATTTCTAGATGCACCCTTATCACTGGAACTCCAACGATGTTTATAGACCTGTTAGCTCAAGTTAAAAACAAAGGTGAAACGCCACCGCCGCTGCGAATAGCACTTGCCGCCGGAGCACCATGCAGTCCGCAGCTCATCAAAGATATGCAACAATATCTTAACACCGAAACAGTCAAGGTAATACCAGAGTGTTTGAGATTTCTACTATATGGTCTTTCTCGGAATAACCATAAAAAGATAATAAATAGATTATTCTGTAACTGCTCATATCTATAAGGGACGATAACCACTTTCCACTAGGTGGGCCGTCAGCTTGCTTGCCAGGCTTCGTTGCAGTCGCATTTATTATTGGATCATGCTGTGTGCCATGTTGTGGCAAGTTTACCTGATCAATACATTAATGTACTTGCATGTTATAGTTTAAGTTTGCATTTGTAAACTTCTATTATGTGCGCCAAATATATAAAAAAAAAAATAATAAAAATTCTAAGTTGTAAAAAAAAAGATAATCAAGAAATATTAAATTATGTCAATATTATTTCCATGTCTAATAGATAGTCCTTTTATATAGTCGTTTGTTTGTAATTTCTATAAGTATTTGTGTTTTTTATAAATTAACAAGTGAACTATCTTTAAAATCATGTAAGATAGCTTTTCTACATAGATAGCTATTTTTATTATCTATTCAGTAACACTTACTGAAGATATAACTTTTTAAATTTCTAAATTCAAAATTTTTTTAATTATCATAGCTAACAAAGAATTGTAATAACGTGGTAAATAATTATTTACCATACGGGCAGTTTATGCTTATAGATATAAGCGTATCTGGTTATGTTCTAGCTTGGTACGGATGCTATGTAGGTGCTCATTTAGTCTTAATGTACTTTTACCTATGTTTTCTTCTTTACAGGCTTTGTATGGACTGACGGAGACCACGGCGTCAGTATTCCAATCTTTACCTGGAGATAGCACGGAACTTGTCTCTGAGACTGTGGGATATATACAAGATCACGTTGAAGTCAAGGTTAGATACTTACATGTATCATTTTTTGTTATAAACATGTCTGAGACCTCTAGATACAAAAGATCTCAAAACATAGTAGTAATTTATTCGTATTACGTCCTTACGTTCTCTCTATCTCATTAAGTACTCATATATAAAAATTAAAAGCAGGACGTATAATGTTATAATAATAATAAATAATTCTTTATTAAAGTTACCGGGTCTCACTTTTTATATTTTACAAATTATTACAATCAGAATTATAGTTGGGTTCTTTCAACATGCAACGCGACACAATGGCCTATGAAGAAAGAATCCAGCCTACTTGCTAACATGGCAAAAACGCAGTTGGGGCTGACCCCCACTCTGCAGAGTAGTGACGCAGATCGTTTCCGAATAATGCTGTAGATACAATTCACATACATTTCTGCAAACATTCCCGATGTACTATAGAATCGAGGTAGCCCCAACAACACCCGGAACCCAACATTGTACTGTACTCTTAAAGTATTGTATAATTTTGGAGTATATCAACTACTTAGCTGAAGATTTTAGTTCATTCTCTTCAGAACTCGGAGGTTGCAATTTCTTTTATATATTTTAGGTAGTCGATGATAATGGTAACGTTTTACCCTTCGGTAGCTCCGGTGAACTTGTGGTACGCGGCTACCTCAATATGATTGGATATTGGGACGAACCTGAGAAGACGAGAAAGGCTTTTTACGAAGGTGGCTGGCTTAGAACAGGGTATTTTTAATATTGTTTTTTTTAATACATTCTGCAACTTTACATTCGGTCTGTGTTATTGGCTGTATAGATGGAATTCCTGATTCGCCTATGTTTTCAGCCAACTTCAAATAGAATAAGGTTCTCAGTTCGATTGTATTTTAATTTTGTGTTGGTTACCTCATAACTCCGTCAGTTGTAAATCGATTTAATTTTTTTTTTATTTAAAACTATATACTTTAAATTGATCCCATAGAAATTTTATCAAAATCGATTCAGTAGTTTAGTTTTCATACCAAAATCAGTTATTCTGCTATAATTGATGTCGGTTTTTTTTTTTTTGGGGAACACAAGCTTCTCTGAGTGTTTGTCTTTGCCAATTATTAAGCAATGTTAATAATTTTTTGCAATCAATACAATATTTACTTTATCCTACTCATACATTAATTTTCTCGCCAGTTTAATTGTTTTTTGTCAATATTTAAAATTATATCAATTAAAATGTAACTTTAATATTGTTAATTTAATTTTAATATTGTTTACTAGCGATAAATTCACGATAAGCGAGGACGGATACGGCAGAATAGTAGGACGTTTGAAGGATATTATCGTGAGGGGTGGCGAGAACATCGCGCCCAAGGAGATCGAAGACCTACTGAACACACATCCGAGTATTATAGATAGCCAGGTAAAATATTCATCATCGTTACCAGCCCATATTAGTTTACTCTTAGATATAGGCCTCTCCGAAGATATGCCACTTTATACAGTCCTATGCTTTACGCATCCAGTTGTTTTGAGCTTCTTCCGTCAATAGTCGCGTCATCTAGCTAAGGATGGCCGGAGGAAAGAGATTGGCAGTAATAGGAACTAGTAACTCTAAAGGAATTGTCTGTAATGGGTACTAGGAACCCCACTGCTAGAAATATATCCTCTCAGGTTGACCTTCAAGCGATTATCCCTGGAAATCATCGTTATTAATTTTTGATGAATTCTTTACAAAAGCTAACAGACCTGCTTTTATGCTCAGCTAATAAACTCTCACTAGTACCTTGCCAGCGTATACCGATAGCGTAGACGGAATTACCATTCATTTTAATATTAAAAATACATATATTTTACACTGTAAATTACAAAACATGACTGCCCTACCAAAATCAATAAAAAAAATAGCCAGTATAACACAGAATAACTTGAAGATTCTAGATATCCCATACATCCAAATCAGTTAAGACATTTAGAAGTTATGGCGGAATAAATCATCTCTACATACATACCTACATTATATAAACCCTGGAATCATCACATTCTTTTTTAAACAACTTCAAAAAAAGGAGGTTCTCAATTTAACTGTACTTTTTTATGTTTGTTACCTCATAACTCCGTCAGTTGCAAACCGATTAATCAAATTTTTTTTATGTGAAAGCATATACTTATAGATTTTGTTAAAAATCGGTTCAGTGCTTTAGTTTTTAAATCAAAATTGTTTTACCGCAAATGAAGTCGGTTTTTTTTTGTTAAACACAATAAATTATTGTTCTCTGTCGTGTTAAAACTTCACCCCTGTGCCTGAATATTGTTTCATTTTTTATGCTTATAGGTAATAGGAGTATCAGATGAGAGATTAGGCGAAGAGTTGTGTGCTGTTCTGCGACTCCGTGAGGGAAGCACTGTCACACCGGACGACCTGAGGCGACACTGCACGGGTCACCTGGCCAAGTTTAAGATTCCCAGGATAATTAAAGTTATAGACGAATTCCCGAAAACGACGTCGGGAAAAATACAGAAATATAAGCTGAAGGAGATTATAGAGGCTGGAAAATTATGATAAACTTTATATTTTTATAGATAACGTTTTTTTGTACATAGATAGTACTTACATTAAATGTTAAATAAATAATACATTTATAAATTATCAGTGTTTTGTTACTTTTACTCAAATTGGGAATTCAGTACAAAAAAAAAAAAGAAATATAAAACAATTCAATACCTCAAATAGGTTTATGAGAGATTTCTTTTTATAACACAGGGGGCGTACGAGCACATGCTCACCTTATGGTAAGTGACTATTCCCGCCCATGATCACCCGCAACACCAGAGGCATTGCAGGTGTGCTGTCGGCCTTTTATAAAGGAATGTACTCTTATCTTGTACTATAATGCTGTATCGGTTCGGAAATAGTGCTGCTGGAAGTTGATTCCAAAGCGTGGTTGTGCATTAAAAAAAGTTCCTTAAAAAACGCACGGTCGAGGACCGCCACTCATCTAGATGTTTGAGATGAAACTTTAGTTTATGGCGGATTGTACGGTAATGAAAATCAGCAACTGGTACAATCCAAACAATTACTCAGAATTCATAAAGTTTGACGTTTGTATGAAGAGAGGAGATTAGATTTTGTATCATTTCACATTTATTATTTACTGTGTTCCTTATTTTTTTTTTATTTTTATACTTGGTACAATAAAGCGTAAATAAAAAAAGTCCATATATTACACAGTTTATTCGAGATTCACTTAAATATATTAATTTAAATAATATTATATGTACAAATTGCAATTATATATATAAGAAAAGGAAATATTTGCCCAACTAACTATAGTTTTTCAATACGCTATTTGCTTTACATGGTGTTATCCAACACAAACAATCAAATATCTTATCAAACAGAGGTAATACTAACAATTACACATTTATATAGATAAACTATGCAAATTGATCATCTTTTCTAAGTTTTCAACTTGTAGTTTCAGAATTTTAGTAAAGAAAGTGAACGTAGCAAGATATTTGCTGATAGAAGTCAATGTAATTTGGTTTCCATATCCATTTCTTTCAAGGTCTTATAGACCTTATATGAAAATGAAGATATTTAATTATCTTTACATAGTCATATACAAAAATGTTAAAAGCACATGTACCTGTTTTAAGATACGTTTACGCTACTGCACATATGAGACAGAAAAAGAAACCAGACTTTACTCTCTCGTTGTATATCATACGTGGAGTGGGCGTGGAAATTTTCGTATGCCACTTGTAGTACAATAGTTAGAAAAAACTAAATGCACTAATGGTAGCGTCTTTGGTCCATTCACTTTCCTTCATTCAAATTTCTTATTTATTGCTACCCTAAAATGTCTAAAGAATTACGTAATTTTAGAGTCACTGCCAAGCTACATAAAATGTTGATATGACTAAATTTGTTTTAACTAGCTATAGGTAATTGCACTTGTAGAAAATATAATTTATTTGATAAATGAAAGTGATATTATATATCATATATATCTATTTATACATATATATTTACTTATATATATATATATATATATATATTTATTCATTTATTTCTACCTATCGGTGTTTTCAATTGTAAAGACATTTTATTTATTTATTTTTTACTATAACATTTAAGTCGAATGGTACATATGTATGACTGTGACTACACTAATAAACTGTCAGTTTTTCTCATATTGGGTTTGCCGGAAAAATTCTCTTTTAGAGATAAGCTCGCCTTTGTGCACTATTATGTTTGTTTCTTTCTATTTCAATAACCTTTTGTGTACAATAAAGAATAATCACAAGTTCCATAAACACTGCACATTAAACACACACTGATCTGTTCTTGCGGTAACAATACACTTTCGAGAGCATTTCTGATGACATTCACTTATGGAATAATTTTATTTAAAGTGTCACTCTATGAGGCACGGGTGTTCGTCTCATAATTTTCGTATTCCATAAAGTCTGAAAAAGAAACCAACATTGGAATATTAAACTACATAATATATTTGAATATCAATTTGTCAAGAATTGGATTTTTTTTGTATAATTATGTATATAACTCCCACAAGTTGTCCATGAATCTATCGAGTATTGAAACATGATTTTTTTTTAATTGAAAATTTCTTCTTGTCGGGGCAACCAATTCATATACCATATTTTCTTCCAAACAGCTCTATTCCAGGCCATATCTTTGACCTCCCTATAAACATGACACTTAGTATTTGTTTAAAAATACTGTACTTATTACACAATGTCTACACAGAAATACTCACCTTGAGTGCTCTTCTAAATTTCGTCGACATAAGACTGAATAGCAAAGGGTTCAGTATGATACTAAACCAATTATTTATTGATGAAATGCTCAGCCATAATTCCCAACGCTGAAAATATATAAGATACTCGTAAATAGGCACGAAACAATTAAGATTGTCAAGTACAAGTAGAAGGGGTGAAAAGGTTAGTAATAATCTCTAACTGACCCATTGCTAGCAATACACCTTGAAAGGTCAACTCCACGCGTTTCCTTCTGGAAACCATCATGGTAAATTCTTGTGAAGTTCGTCACGATGGGCTAGCTGACCTGCCTTTTTATCCTCACCTGTCATCTCTCACTGGTGGGCACCAGTGAGAGATGTAGGGCTACCAGCGTATACCGATAGCGCAGGCGGAGTTACCATTCCATTATAATCCATAAAAAAAAAAGTACGAGTGGGAAATCATATTAGAAGTATTACACGAGTAAACTTATGCAATACGAAGACAAACATTTAAATGTATTGTTAATAAAAAATTAAATAATAGTATGACTCTTTGATAGTATCTCGTCAAATAAGACAGATCATGGAGTTTGATTCTATCCATTGAAACTAATATCAAAGCTAATATTATTTCATTTACAAAATTATGTAAACTTTAATCTACATATCTGATAAAGGATGGTTCTAGTGAACAAAAATGGTCGAATACAAAGATCAATGACATTTGTTGAATTCGACCATTTTTTAGGAAAGGTGGAGTGAACCAATTATGGTTTAAACATACATACCATTTAATTGGGTGGTAAAGTAGATACCTACCGGAGCGAATCACAAATAATCTTTCATCAGTTTTCCTAGGAACTCATGTGACTTCAAGTTAGAGATTTCAATCTTATTAGATAGTTTTAGCTTTTAGCAGAAAGATTCTACAGAAGTACTTAAAATTATAGAAAAACAAAAGTGAAATATTGTTTACAACATACCTCAGCGAGCCATTCTAACAGTTGAGTATTGGACATAACTATAAGGACTCGTAACGTAAAAAATGGCAGCCAGCACACCAGGAACGAGAGCGTCAGAGCTACTGAACACCAAAATGAGGATTAGTTGTATGTATAAGTATTAATATATTCATTCTTAGATTAATACTAGTGGTAGTTTTGTGTGCCGATCGTCACACTTATTTTTCACTATAAATCATCTCTGTATGCATAGAGATAAAACCCGCAGGTATCTCAACTTACGTGGAAATTAAGCATGTAACTATTAAACTACTTGCCCTGATGTTATAAAGCAACTCTCACATTAAACCTTATAGAAAATACTCTATACTGTAATGGTGTTCGTCAATTTTTTAAACATTATTTTTGTAGAAAGAAACTATAGAACGAGGTTCTTCAAAAAAGAGGTAAAGATGTTTCTTCAGGGTCAGCAACGCGTACATAATGCCCCTGGGAGGCGTTCATAGGCTACGATAACTGCTTACCATCAGTTGGGTCGTATGCTTGTCGTATGCTTGAGATAAAAAAAATTAAAATTTAAAGAGACTTTTTAAACTGTATTACACCTAATTTATGGTCAAAAGTTGATACAACCGACGCAACAACTTGTGGCGTCTGTTTAAATCCAGTTTGTTATTTATATACCTTATTTTTATAATTTATTACAAATATATTGCATTTACACAAATTTTGGAGAGGGATCAAGACCACCTTGCCTTTTACTAGCTTTAATATGAATTAAGCAATATTTGTAAAAATATATTAGGCTAGATATATGTATATTTATTAATAGATGAATAAATATAAATTCAAATTCAATATTATTTAATATGAGATAACGATAATAAAAGGACGGCAACGAACCAGGGCATGGTTATTTTGTGTTTTAGTCATAGTCCTGACGAAATGTACTATCACAGCTGTATGGACATCTTCAGATATTATTTTAAGGATGATGTTGTCACTCTCCCCACTCTTTTCACTATGGACGCGACTTTCTTACGAAAGATGACGTGGAAATCATCAATCTGTGCGTGTGTGAACGAACATTTCTGAGGCAGTACGAAAGCAGGAGAGTTCCAACATCGTAGATACGTAGAAAATCCAAAGATATTTCTATTATTAATCCATTACAAAACAAAATATTAAAATAAGTTAAAAAATTCACAGTATAAACCAATAATTTTTAAAGTTGTTAATAATACTTACCAATGAGTTTATTAACTTTACTTCTATTATTGCGATGGTTGAAAATCCTATCTCTGGAGTCGCTCGTTTGGCTTACATTCACTTTAAAGGCGATCATCGAGTAAACAAACGTCATTATCCCGAGGGGTATAATGAAAGTCACCAGGCCTAAGACTGCGTTAATTACTTTAGCAAATGGCGTTGGAATTATAAAACAAATTGGCGATTTATCTGCGTTTATGAGGTTCACAGTCCACACTTCGGGGAGCGTTTCTAAGATCGCCACTGTCCAAATTAAAATAATTGTTTTCATACATCTTCTCCACACGGGTGTAGATTTTAATAGCAGAGGATGCCAGATCGCTATATATCTTTCTATGGCCAACGTCGTCATTATTAATATACCATTATTCCACAGTGCAACTACGAGAAAAAAGTGTATTTTGCACACAACATTTCCTAAGTCATAATCTTGGAAGTAGTAAAAATTTGGCATGTACCATATTATGTTCACTTCGAGCAATATCCCGAAGGATACGATAAAATCAGATATTGCCAAGTTGAAAAGATAATAATTTGTGGCTGTATGCATATTTCTGTCTAAATATATAACGGTACAGGTGAGGAGGTTGCCTGTAACGCCGACCACGAAAATGATTAGCAAAGTCGCCGCGTAAACTGCATGCATCACATCGGACTCCGGGGTCATAGATTTTTTTAATATCTGCGCCCATAACTGATAATCGAAATCCTCGTGCGCTGTTATATTTGTCATTTTTATTTTAGTTTTTTTCACTTGTAATTTTAACAGTCAGATTAGAAATTAAGATGTTCAGAAAACCTCAACACGTGTTACCCGTGGTGCGGTCTACGTGGTTGTAAATTGCCTTACCTTCGCAAAAGACAATATTTGTCCATTATTGTAATTGTCCACCACAGTTACTATGTTTGCTGTACAAATAGATACCTACCTGAACGTTAATTGGATTAATTTTATGTTAGTACTTGATATTGCTACCTTTCGTACTACGATTGTGCGTTACACATTTTTCTAAACTTTAAAAAGATGCCCTATTCCTCTACAGGTATGTAGGTACAAATACATAGCATATTTTATTATTAATATTAATAAAATATATTTTGCTAAACGAAATGTAGACTGTGTATTAATGTATGTTGAGGGTTACGTTCACTACAATGGCAACTATTGAGGAATGTCTCTGACTACCCCATTAAAGATTATGGATGTGAGGTTTTTTAATAGATAAAAATGGAATGATAACCCCGCCTGCGCTAATGTTATACACTGGCGGTACACCAGTGAAGGTGCGAATGAAAAGGCAGGTCAGTTAGCCCATCATAATGAATACACTTGGAATTCAGAATGATAGTTTCCAGGGGAGGGCACGAGGAGGTCGACCTGATAGGGTATATTGCTAACAATGGGACTGGTAGCCCACATTGCTAACAATCCCTTCTTTCTTATATGTGAGGTTTTTATTTACCGTATCTCCTATGACTTGATTTGTAGTATTTTTGTTCACTTCTTGGAATGAAATTCCCAAGAGTTGGTCTGAGATATATAATATAAAATACATAGTATAAAACAAAGTCGATTCCCCACTGTCTTTCCCTATGTATGCTTAGATCTTTAAAATTATGCAACGAATTTTGATGCGGTTTTTTTAATAGATAGAGTGATTCAAGAGGAAGATTTATATGTATAATACATGTATAACATAGTAGAGAAACACTGAAAATTTAAAGGTTTCTAACGTGATGTGATGCAATGTGCACCCGTATGAAGCCGGGGCGTGTCGCTAGTTATACGATATAATAATACCAATAAATTGGTATACAATAATTATACAATATCATAAAAATAAATCTAGTAACTTCTACGTGATACAAACACACGCACAGAAATCATAATATAGATGTTTCCCTATTAATAGTTGTACGTGTAAGCCCCTCCATCAATGACTTAATGGGTTTTATCAATTTTCATCTGTGTGCGTGAATACGTATACGAATATAGATAACACTAATTCATCTTTTTAGTTAGTAACAACTATGTATAGTACAGCCATCTAATACAGATATCTAAATTAATTTAGTAGCCAAATTCTTTATGAAGTAGACAGAGAAAATTGAGAATTAAATTGTTAAATGAAATGAAACAAAATTTGCAACTTATTTTTTTTTATTTGGTGAAATAAATTAGGTATATTTAATAATTATGCATCTAAATCTATTTATAAACATTCATTTGTCAGTTAATAAGGTACATAGAATTTTTTTCTCTTTATAAAAAAATTGTCAATGAAATCTTAACTAATAGTGTAAGTAACGTCAATCTCATAATGTAATCTAGTCATCTTTTTTTTATGCAACTTAGAATAAAAAAGCTGACGGCCCACCTGATGGAAAGTAGTAACCGTCACCTATAGACATGAGCAGTACCATATACATAACAGAGTACTATATACTATTTCGCCAATGATACCTCTCATGCGTTGCTATTCCTGAGGACTCAGGTGTTATTCCTCTGTACCCTGTAAATTCACTGCCATATCCCACCCTTCACATCGAAACACGGCCATGCAAACAACTGCTTCACGGTAAAAACACGAATGAATCAGTTCTTATCGAGCTTGCGTTATGTGGTAACATTAAATATTTAGTAGAGGAAATGCAATATATTATAATGTAAAAAATGTAGATTTAATTAAAAACATATCAGTTATTAATAACACCGTTTTGTATTTCGGGTTGTTATACTAAAAATAACAAACATTTTTTAAATCTATTGAAATCTGTATTAAATTAATTTTAAATTATTAATATTTAAAAAACATAAATAAATTTATATTAGGTATTAAATATATATATAAAATTACTTGTTTGACAAACATTGTTTGTTAGGTTCATACATTATTATAAAACATGGACGTTTTAATGCCAGATATATATTAATATTTATATAATACCGTGTGATCCCGGCATAGGATGGACCACCCCTTCCTTTCCCATGGGTGTCGTAAGAGGCGATTAAAAGAACTTAATAGTCAAGGGACGGGGAGCTGCATCCCTCTTAAAAACATCACCAAAGCCTAACTGCAGTTGCCAAACCGTCTGCCAAGCGTGGCAACTACTGGCAAATCCCCTCTTATGGGGCCTATATACAACAATGGACAGTTAATGGCTTATATGATGATAATGATGATATAATATTTAATAAACAAGTATAAAAATACAAAATATTTGTGCTGCATATGCGTACTTATAATTATACGCCATAGTACTGTTCTATATTAAAAATTATAAACTTAATATCTACCTAATTAAGTAATGCAGATTGACGAACCGTTCGTCCAATTTTATAAAGCTTATTTAATAACTACACGTTGCTAAATGATAAATGAGAAATTAATTTAATGATTAAAAAACTAAACAATCGGATTTATATAAATCTAAACGTGCATAAAATTATCTATTCTAAAAATAATGTCCAATCTGACAGACAATTTAATTGGATTTAATAATTTTAAAATGAAACTTAATTTTCCAACAATATTATGTGCTCGTAAAAAGGGATCAATATTTAGTTAATAAATAGCTGACATATATTTTTTTTTAATAAAAAGTCCGCTTTTTTAGTGTTACAAGTAATTAAATTAAAAATATCTCCAAGTCAGACCGATTTTTGAAATTTTAATTGAGAACTATTTTTTCTGACATAATATAAATGACATATATAGGTATTGCTTTGAATATAAAAGTATTTATATATATTTATGTATAATTACAACAGCGACTATTTTTAATTATTTAAAAACTAAAACATATTTTATGTCCATATTCAAAATATTGTATAAATTAAGGTAATCAGTAAATATAAAGATCATTACAAATAATTATGCACAGTTTATCTTGTTTTTTCAAATATATTCATAAGGATTTTGTATTGTTTTTATTTTTTAATTTAACCTTACAATACCATTTCTCTCATATACTGAGTATTATGTCAATATGGTAACCCTATTCACCCACATACATGGATAAAAAAATTAACCTATTGTTGACAAAGCAAAGGAATACACTTTTATCTATACAATCTAAGATATTTTAAATATTTATATAATTTTAAATATTTTTTTATGGGTTACAAAATGGAGAAGTGGCCACTCACCGTTAATAACCAATTATGCATTAAATTTTTAATGCAGGACATATACTAGATTGAAAATTGGCTTATTTTCCATTCGTATTATAAAACAATGGCCGTCAAAGCTGATTTCAGATTCTGACACAGTATGTACTTACGTCTTTGGAAGCTATTTACAACTGGTTGCGGCGAGGTAAGAACCAGCCATGCAGACATTTGGGCACGGGCGAGGGCGCACAGAAGGTGGCTCGTGCCAGTTCGCGAAGTCCTCGTGCCTCCAGCACCAGCAGTGCGACACGGCGGCACTGGGCACCAGCGCCGCCCCACACCAGCGCACTCAGTATCACACCATCGTCCTCCTCCTGTCCACCCATAATTAATATTCACTGCTACTTTCATTCAGTAAATCAAGTAATTTATATCGCAGATAAGGTAAATAAGACATTTTAATGAAACTTTATTTAAATGAAAAACAGACTAAAATAAAATGCCCCTAGATTGTCTGCTCTCACTTAGCCACGACCTATGTTATAATCCACATTTTTCACAATCAATTGTATATTGCCGTATATGAAAAAGAATAAACTACCATTTAGTGTAGGTTTTATTTAAAACAAAACCAATTCCTTATAACTACAGCACCATCATCTAAAACATAATTTTAGATGCTGGCATGAAAAAAAGAAATGATGACAAAGGAATAAAGTAAACAAAAAATGCTGGCATTTAAAAAAAAATATGAAAAAAGAATAAACCACTGTTTAGTGTAGGTTTTATTAAAAAAAAAAAGCCAATTCCTTATAACTACAGCAGAACCATTATCTAGAACGAAATTTTAGATGCTGGCAATTTTCATTAAAAAAAAAGATTCATTAAAAAGTTTTATAAGTACCTATATGAATAAATCAGTAACGAAATCTTAAACTATAAGAAGAGGATATTAGCCAACTATCGTTTTACTGACCAGACAATGTAGTAGAGTTCCTTTTTGAGTTTTTCTACTACTTAGTTAGTATACCATTGTAAGAAATAAGTTTAAAAACTGCGCATCAGAATCGGCCCCAGTGCTATGTTTCCCTAATCGCTTCAGTAGACAGACATATTCTGTTATCCCTGATATAACATAGTTTTGTGAATGGATTCTTCACCATTCTACGCTTACTCCACATTCGATTGTAATCCTAGATTTAGCTAGAGTTACCCACAAAGTTGGCAAACAAGCATGCACCAGGTCTGATGGTAAATGGTCTCTGTAGGCTAGGACGCCTGCAACATTAGAGATGCACGTTGCCGACCCTGAAGAAAGCTTAATATGCCCTTTTTGAAGAACGCCACCCTGCAGTCTCTAGAAAAAACCTCAGCTCATTCCACAGCCTGAATGTTCGCAAGAGAAATTTTTTTTGAAATTGCACTGTACGTGACCATTTTAGTTCAATACCAGAGGGAGACTTTGTACAAAAGTCGTTTTGCTTGACTACCTCTTTCTCATTCGTCTTTCAACCGTAAAGCAGTTGTGTTTGCATGGCTGTGTTTCGGTTTGAAGGGATATGGCGTGAATTTACTGGGTACAGAGGAATAACACCTGAGTCCTCAGGAATGGCAACGCATGGGGGGTATCATGCGCGAAACAGTATACTCGGTTATGTGTATATATATATATATATATATATATATATATATATATATATATATATATATATATATATATATATATATATCTTTTTAATTGTATGAAAAAGATTTGGACTAACCGTAGCACCAGGCGTGGGCACGAATATTGGCTCGCTAGGGTAACAGTTCGTGTCGCACCACGTCTTCGTCTCGCCAGTTTTTGTGTCCACTTTAATTATCTAATTATACAACAAAAAATACTATAAAAATACTGGAATCAGAAATCTGTAATTTAAAAATTTCACTGGATTCAATACAGATTTCAACACTCGTTGAATGTGACGAAATTTTTAAAATCTTGTCCCAATAAGTTGTTCAAAATCAACATGTTTGAAATGTATCGCTATTTTGTAGTTTACCAATTTAGATAATATGGAATATATTTCATAAAAATAATGGCTATGATGAAACGAGATGAATATACTTACTGTTCCAGGATTAGCAGCGTCCACATCTGAGCTGATAGCGTAGAAGTACCGGTAAGGGCGACCTTAAAACAATTATTTCATAATATTACTAGTCTATAATAGTAATGACGATTTTTTCTTGACAACTGCAAATCGTATACAAGCTGTAGTAAGACAGCCAACTAATTGTGTTACTTAAAAATATGGTACTCTTTTAACTAAATAAAAAAATCGATTCACTATGGTATAAATTAAAACGTATAATAAAGCAACTCGAAAATGTAGTAGATCTTATATATATATATATATATATATATATATATATATATATATATATATATATATATATATTCTTTATTGCACTTGTAAGTTACATATAAAATAATGTATTTATAAATGTTGCGAGCAAGGGTGGACTTATCTCTGACAGAGATCTCTTCCAGTCAACCCAGTATAGTAAGAAAGCATTTCGTTAGCGGGCAGCTGAAGTGCTACAACTATTAATACATAAACAAATATATAGTTAAATAAAATATTAAAATATATAATAAAATATTACATAAATACATACACTATAAATACATACAATACCTACCTACTTATATAATATATGTTAAAATAAATTAATGTACTACTTACATTAGAAATTATGTTTAATGATTTTAAGATTTGACAGTTCAATTAGAAAAATACAAAAAACTTCTACTTTTTAAGTCAGTTAAATTTACAGTAATTTTCCCTCAGAGTTCAGGGTTTGAGAATAAATATATAAAATTCATAATTTATTGAATACATGCATAAACATCACAATTGATTCAGCCGTTTAGACATGAAAACAAAACAAAGCCAATCCAGTAACGCGGTAGCTCAACTGATAAAAGATATGGTCCCGACGTAACGTAAAAGGTGTGGATTGGATGTATTTTCAATCACTTAATAATTATTGGAATATAATCTTCATATTTTTATAATATATCTATTTATTTATTTATTTAAGTAACACCAACAGCATATTGCATTATAACATATAGGTATTACAAACATTAAATATAATACAATATTAATGCACATGCCTATTATAAGTATTCACAGCATTCACTTTAACATAATTATACAGTGCAAGAAAATGAAGTAAATAATAAAAACAAACATGTAACCTAAGTTGTGAGCAATATCAGAAAATACGATTATGAGTGAATTGAATTAAAAAATATTAAAAAAATATATATTATGATAATTAGAGTTAATTTTCATTAGATTGTTGTACAAAGTGCTTCAGCAATTTATTCCTGTAGGAATTCGAATTATCATACACTATACCAATTTCAGGTAATTTGGCATTAATTTCATTGTATGATGCAATAATCCAATTAAGACAACTTTAATATTAGTCTAGATGTAGGTGACTTACCGTTGTACAAGTCGTAATGTATTCTAGGAGTTTCGCAGCCAAGCTCTGCCAGTAGGCGCGGTTCTACGCGCGAGCAGTTGGTTGCATTCAGCGGAAGCTCGAGTCGCTTTGGGCGGCCGCGGAACCATTCCGCGTAGTCTGCGTTACTTTGCATCGTCTATAAAGGAATATTTTTCAATAATACACCAGAATAGAATCGTCTTTTGCTCTTCTGGAACATTCTAGGGTAGCTGGATTAACTATACACTCAAGCACAATGGTAGGCTATCACGAGATTAAGTATAGAAGTAAAGCCTTTTGGTCTTTTTGAATAGTCTATAATGGTTGAGTTAACTACAAACGCAAACCCCGCTAAAACACAAGCTTGCGCGTTTACCGCTAAGAAAACCCCATTTGCTGTGGCTCCACAGTTCCAAGGCACGTCTCTTAACATCTCTAAAAGCATTGGGATCCTTGGTGTCGACATCTCTACTGATGTACAATTCCGTGGCCACCTCGAAGATAAGGTGAAGCTGGCATCCAAAAAACTCGGTGTGCTCAATAGAGCGAAGCATTACTTCACGCTAGATCAGCGATTAATGCTCTACAAATCGACATAACAGAGTATACTGTTTCGCCCATGATACTCCCCATGCTTTGCCATTCCTGAGGACTTAGGTGTTATTCCCCTGTACCCTGTAAATTCACGCCATATCCCACCCTTTTAACCGAAACGCAGCCATACAAACACAACTGCTGTACGGTTGAAACACGAATGGGACAGAGGTACCCAAGCAAACGACTTTTGTACAAAATCTCCCTCTGGTAATATATAATAATAATATTAGTTTATAATATTCTTACTTCAATGGCGTTTATATACATGGCGTCTATAGCCTTGGCGTCCTTGTAAGCGCAGAGGTCCACCACCAGGACGCCGTCATGTTCGTAAGCGTTGATGATGTGCAAGTAGAAGAGCGGCTCCGTCCTGTACCGTTTCACCTCCTTACCGTCCCTACGACTCAGTAGGACTATGTGTGTCTGCAAAACAAAAATTCTAGACAGTTGGTATCTAATCTACAGTATCTAAAATGATGACAAACACTCAGATCCAACTGTCTAGTTAGTTCCGAATGACTAAAATAATGTAGAGTTTCACAGGATGGCAACGGAGTTCATCTCTGGTGTTAATTAATTAATATAAAATACATTGTATATACAAGTGAAATAATTTATATTAGGACTTGTCATGCGAACTGGTGAAAACTGTAATGCCTGACAACCTGTTTTGTAAATAAATAAATAAAATTAAAAAATAATAGGCACTTCGTAACAAGCTTATAAAAAGATCATCTAACTGGCTGTATGGGGGGAAAGGGATTGTTAGTAATGGAGACTGAGAATCCCATTGCTAGCAATATACCCAACCAGGTCGACCTCCTCGCGGTTCTCCCTGGAAACTATTATGGTTAATTCCTTATGAATTCATCATTCATGATGATAACTGACCTGTTTTCATTCTTATCTATCACCCTTCACTGGTGCTCCGCCAGCTTATCCCGTTAGCGCAGGCGAGGTGGGGTTCCATACCATTTTCACCCATCAAAAAAAACTGGCTGTATGACGATATGCATAATGCGTCATTTTATAAGGTAATTTTATAAAAAACAAACGCACACAGTAATAAATCTCTTCTTAAGATTACATGTAATAATTTTACAATTTGTCTTCACTTATTATCGATTACTATGAATTATCATCACGAAAAATTGATCTATTACAAGTCAATTTTGCATCAGATGAAATGTGAAAATGGATAAAACAAGCGAAAGGTGGTGACCTTTGATACTCTATTCTCTTTGCTTCCCCCATATTATGAAGTAAGATGATATATTAAGAAATATGAATAATTTGAACTTCCACAGCGCAGGTACGCGAAGAGTGAAATAGTTGTTTTGGAAAAGGTTTCAGGTTCTATTTTTAGTCGAACCAATATGGAAAAATTACATATCTAAACTAGCGGTATCTAAATATTCTGTGTAAGAAGCAAATATCTAATCATTATGTTTGGGGGGGGGGGAGGGATTGTTTGTGATGCGGATTACCATTCTCATTGCTAACAATTTACCCCAACAGGGCGACCTCCCCGTGCCCCCCCCCCCTGGAAACCACCGTGCTGAATTCCAAGTGAGCCAGTGATCAAGTGACTTCATCATGAAGAGCTAACTTACCTGTCTTTTCATTCTCACGTATCATTCCTCACTAGTGCCCCGCCAGCGTATTCGTTAGCGCAGGCGGGGTTACCACTCCATTCAACAAATCATTATGTTTGCCTGGTCTTTCATTACATAACGAATTTTTATATTTAAGTATTCATGATCACAATACATACATGAGATAGAACGATTAAGCAATATCTGGCGTCTTATTCTTTTCCATGCATACAGTTACGAAATCATATGTACCGGTAGATTTACAACCATAACAGTGCCATAGATATAACAGAAAATACTGTGTCGCCCATGATACCTCTCACTGTTCGAGGACTAAAGTGTTATGCCTTTCGGACCGAAACACATAATCATTTCTCTAAAGGACATTCATATTGTCTCATACCTCGTGATTGGGGTACCAGTGAAGGCTGGATGCAAGTGGTTCGTTCGACAGCTGACTTTTGACCATAGTCAACAGAGATACTGACAGCGGTTGCTCCACTATCACGAAATAGTTCTCTGTTATACCTGCAATTATAAAAATTGCTTGTAAACGAAGAAAGGACTTCAGTAAAAGCTATGCTTTTATGTAAATGTCCTTGCCAGCTATCACAGACTTAAATTTGCAGAAGACAACCCCTAGTTCAGTAAAACATTCAAAATTTTATGTCGTTTACCACCCATATTTCTTAAGTAAAATAATTTTGTTCTACCCACAGAACACTCTCTTACGAGGATACTAATGATTTCACTTTTTATATATATTTTTTTATACAACTTAGAATGGCAAACAAGCTGACGGCCCACCTGATGGAAAGTGGTAACCGTCGCCTATAGACATGAGCAATACCACGGATATAACAGAGTGTACTGTTTCGCCCATGAACAAAGTCTCCCTCTGGTATATATATATATATATATATATATATATATATATATATATACAGATGTTTTAAGAGGGACGCGTCATCATCGTCATATCAACATCCACTGTAAGAAACCACTGCTGAACATATCAGGTCTCCCTGAAGAGAGAGGTTTTGCCAATAGTCGCCAAGCTTGGCAGGCGATTGGCAACAATTGAATACACCGTACCGTTCAATAATTATAGAGTTTACTCACCAAAAGTGTGCATGTACGCTGGGTGCAGCGGCCATCTTGGACTCATATTAGCTACAATATGCGCTTTCGCGAACATATCACCTGCATTTCAAAGTGCATAAATATTATTTATTCCGCAATGCGATACAGTGACTGAATAAGAATGCAATACGTAACAATGTTTTTCATCTCAAAAATTGCATTTTTTTTATACAACTTAGAATGGCAAACAAGCTCACGGCCCACCTGATGGAAAGTGGTAACCGTCGCCTATAGACATGAAATGAAATGAAATGAAATGAAATGAAATATTTATTTGCTTTAAACAGACATTTGACATTATAAGGGCCATGTGACACAACTTTTTGGCATCTGTCTAATTGCATTAAAATTGTAGGCATGCAAATCTAATTTATTCTCCTTCTGGTAAGTGTGTTTTGAAATTTAATTTATACTAATACATTATTATGTGCAAATGAATAATAAAAAAAAGAAAAAAAAATCAATTTCATTTTCACTCATATACAATTATCAAGTAAAAATTACATATTCAATTAAAATAAAATTAACAATTACATTATTATTATTTTTTCAATTAATATATAAATTACAATTTTTGACAAAATTTATTCGTATAGTTTAAGGATTTATATTATGACAATTATGTTAACTGTTTTTGATGTGTAGGCATAATATGATCTTACATCATCTGTAAAAGACCTTATCCAGAAGCCATAGATGAAGATATACTTTACAATAAATAACAAATTTCAATATTATATCTAAAAAATCTGAAGGATGCAATGTTTATTGCTCTCCCAGTCAGGAATAAAATACTCGAAATATTTGAATAAACAGACAAAGCTTCTGGGTTGTTATTCCAATTTCGTACACACATTTATAATTTATAGTCTATTATATAAGCCGGGTGTGAAATAGATATACCTAAGATATTTTCATCCTAATTTATTTATTTATTTATAGGATCACCAACATAAGATACAGCGAAACATTTCAATACAATACACACTTATAGGCAGCCACAGCATGCTTTGTGTTTGATAAACATTAAAACAGAATTAAATTATTAAATGTCATTAAATGAATAAAGATATTAACAATATGAATAGATATATAGATAGATAATTTATTTACATTATTTACAGCGCACAAATCACACATTATCACACATACATAATATACAGTAAAAGATATAAAAGAATAAAAAACAAAAAAAAAGCAATATAATAATAATATAACAACTAAAAAGGCTGCAAGTGAACTATAAAATTATTCGTATATTGAAAATTATAAAACTATACCTTTTTCGGTGTAAGGAAATTTCACAATGACATGCTTCAGCCTTCCTTGAACTATAGACATTCCCAGATTGTATACATCGCCTGAAAAATAAAAGTTTTAAACTTAGTCCCCTTTACATATTACTCAGTATTTTTTTGTTTACATTACGACGCTCTAAATAAGCCCTACTTTCTGTCTAAGAATTGAATTGCTCGAGAATTTATATAAGGCTTGTGTTTAACCTACAACTGCAAGAACTACTACTACTACTAAACTAATAACTACTAGTAGGGGGGAAAGGTATTGTTAGTAATGGAGACTGAGAATCCCATTGCTATCAATATACCCAACCAGGTCGACCTGCTCGCGGTTCCCCCTGGAAACTATCATGGTTAATTCCTGATGAATTCATCATGATGGGCTAACTGGCCTGTTTTCATTCTCACCTATCACCCTTCACTGGTGCTCCGCCAGCGTATCCCGTTACCGCAGGCGGGGTTACCATACCATTTTCACTAATCAAAAAAAAAAACTACTAGTACAAGAACTATATGTATGTCTATAGACGACGTTACCACTTGACATCAGGTGGGCTGTCAGTTAAGTTGTATGAAAAATTAAATAAAAATTATCTAATATCTTTAAATTCATAGATTAAATATAGATAGATAGATACTCTTTATTGTTTCCTCTATAAGATTACAATAGTAAACTTATTATACATTTAAACAATTACAAATAAATAATATAAAATATAGTAACGCTAATATTACATTTATAAAAATTACTTGAAAGAAGTGTGCAGAAAATGCACTGAATTTTCAAAAGTATAATAACTAAAAAACCTATTTTTTTTTCTTTTTCTTCTCAATGTCCTATACCCAAAGGTTGTCTGGAAGATATTGCTTATCGATAAGGCCTCCTTTTGTATCACTTCTCATTAATATTTACTGTATTTGTAATTTCCCTTTTTACTTGGTGCAATAAAGTGTAAATAAATAAATAAATATTTTTGCTGACCATTGGGCATGACGTGTGGGTGTGAAGTATGGTTGACCAACGAAACAGAATCCATAAGGTTCCTCCTTTCCAACGTGTCCAAAGTCTCAGGGTCTATTCTAGAAGAAAAACCATAAAAATATTGCGTATAGAAGATTTGATGAAAACTAAGATTAATATTTGTTTCGCTGAATTTGTGGATCAGATGGCAGTAATTGTATCAAATAAGACAAAACAAATAATAAATTGTTAATTTAATTTATTTTTTGTTTAAGTTAGTTTGATTAGTTGTGTATATATATATAATGTATAATGGATAGATAACTAATTAATTGAATTTATATTGTATTTTTTGTGTTGTACATAAAATTTTGATTGGTTAATAATATTAATAAAACGAATAATATTAATTCGTGTTTCAATACCAGAGGGAGACTTTGTACAAAAGTCGATTGCTTGGGTACCTCTGTCCCATTCGTGTTTCAACCGTGAAGCAGTTGTGTTTGAAGAGGCGTGAATTTACTGGGTACAGAGGAATAACACCTGAGTCCTCAGGAATGGCTACGCGGCGGCGGGGGGGGGGGGGGTATCATGGGCGAAACAGTATACTCTGTTATGTCCATGGTACTGCTCATGTCTATAGGCGACGGTTACCACTTTCCATCAGGTGGGCCGTCAGCTTGTTTGCTTTAGCTTTCTTAAAAAAAAAAATAGTAAATTTAAGGATAAGTGTTTTTCATAAGATATGGAAGAATATTATATTCACCGATGTATAACAGGACCTTCAGTGAAAGCATAAATTTCATCTCCAAATGGATACAATGATATCATCGCGTTGTCGGACAACGATTCCCCCGGCTTGAACAATGCTGCTATCCTGAAAGTGTATAAAAATAAATAAGTAAATGTTATATTTCAAAGCTGCATAAAAAAAAATATAATTTAACTAATTAAGTAAATTAAGTTAATTCCTTCTACCCAAAGGTTGTCTGGAAGAGATTGCTTAGCAATAAGACCGCTTTTTGTACTACACTATACGTATTGAAAATTGTTTTAATAAATCATGTTATGTTGGTGCAATAAAGTGTTAAATAATTAAAGAAATAAATAAATAAATAAGTACCTATTTTTTTAATTGTTCTATCAAATTTATAATATAGATAGATATTCTTTATTGTATCCTCCAAAAGATTACAATAGTAAACTTATTTCTAGATATAAACAATTACAAGAAATAATCACAATAAGAAAACAATGGGCGGCCTTATCGCTAAAAATGATCTCTTCCAGGCAACCTTTGGACGGAGAGGAGACAATTTTATTAAAAAAATTGTTTGTTTGGAAATACTTTTATTTTGTGGAATAAATATGATATTGGAAATTGCATGTAAATTTTTGGTCTTAAATTAAGCTTCATTGATGAAAACAACCCCGAAAACCGCACTGTATGTTACCATTTAAGCTTTATTCTTTATTGTACACAATCTTTCTTAAAACATCACTAAAAGCCTAACTGCGATTGTCAATCCGCCTGCCAAACATGGCAACTACTGACAAACATCCCTTTATGGGGGGAGGGGGGAAGAGATTGTTAGTAGTGGGATCTAATGGACCCATTGCTAGCAATACACCCTATCAGGTCGACCTCCACGCGGTTCCCCCTGGAAACCATTGTGATTAATTATAATGCAATTTGTCACGATGGGCTAACCGATCTGCCTTCATCCTCACCTATCATCCCTCACTGGTGACCCGCCAACGTATCCCGATAGCGCAGGCGGGGTTACCATTATTTTTTTTTATACAACTTAGAATGGCAAACAAGCTGACGGCCTACCTGATGGAAAGTGGTAACTGTTGCCTATAGACATTTTTCTTTTAACCATTAAAAGAAAAAAACATCCCTTTATGGGGGAGGCCTATGCTCAGCAGCGGACGGTTAACAGTCGACATTATTGTATTGTAATTTTTTTTTTTATTTATAGAAAGTATTGTAGAGAAAACAGACCTGTCGAAGATAGTGTGGCAGGGGTCGGGCACGGCCCGCGTACCGAACTCTGTGACAACGATACGCGCGGCGGCGCGGTTCTTCTTGAACGTGTTGGACTGCAGGAACCGGCATTGGTACGTAACGCTGCCGTCGTTAATTGCGAACCTAAGCAACATAAAATTTAATTTGTAGCTTCAAATTACTCAGCGAGCTATAGTTTGACATGCCTGCTGAGGCACAAAGCAGTGACATAACATACTGGACAACACTACGTCATTACATGACTTCCAATCACAAATTAGTGACTTTAAATAATCCAAACATGATTTAAAATATTCAGACATTCGGGACATTGGATTTTTTTTATACAACTTAGAATGGCAAAGAAGCTGACGGCCCACCTGATGGAAAGTGGCAACCGTCGCCTATAGACTTTGAGCAGTACCATGGATATAACAGAGTACACTGTTTTGCCCATGAGACCCCCGATGCGTTGCCATTTCTTAGGACTCAGGTGTTATTCCTCTGTACCCAGTAAATTCACGCCATATCCCACCCTTCAAACTGAAACACAGACATGCAAACACAACTGCTTCACGGTTGTAACACGAATGGGACAGGAGGTACCCAAGCAATCAACTTTTGTATAAAGTCTCCCTCTGGTATTTAGGATATCACACATTCAAGAATTGGCTTCGCTATTATTAATTAATTGATATGCAATAGAGGATTCTGTTCCAAAGTTATTGATCCCGTCTCACGGCCGTTCCGTTATTGGTCTAATTGCATAGAAACCTACCGGGGACAGGTTGTAGGCAGCTGAATTGGCTAATTAGGTACGTTCAAATGAACCGGCATTCGTAGTTGATTGGCATCCTCTAGGACATATTGTCTATTAGCTTCTCTGATAATTAGATATGTGGAACTGGGGCACCAGATCACTAGATGTAGAGCACAACAGAAGAAAGCATGCTTCTTCACAGAGATACCTACTTAGCAGTTTTTCTTACCGACTTCTGCCAAAAATGTATGTGATTCACTCTAAAGGTACAAATACAGAGCAGTCCTGAGGGCCTACCATGAAATGTTTTCCGAAATTTCGGAGCCAAACGAAATACAAATTTGATATTAAAATTACATAATACATGCAATTGTTTGCCGTTCTGGAAATATTGAAAATATATTTGTTAAAATATGTGTGTTCTTTGGACTTTTATGATAAACCTATGTAACGCTGAACTGTCGAACGAAATGTTAAACTCCATTTATTGGTTCAATTTTGGCCCATAAATAAAAACACGAAATTGAGCCACGACGTTTCTCGCCTGAAAATATCATGGATAATTATTTAAAAGAAAACATTATTTTTAGTTTTTTTCATCTCGAGAATATTGAAAGAAACAACTTTTTTAGTGTTTAAATAAAATAAGATAAATTTCTCTCGCTTGAGCTATTTTTTTTTAATGGATGATAATGGAACGGTAACCCCGCCTGCACTAACGGTATACCCTGGCGGGTTAGAATTTTAAATTATATAGCTTGACGTCTCAAAACTGGTGAACTTTTGTCAGCTAATTGTCGAATTAGTTGACTCGTTTTTTTTATCAGTGTTCTATTATAACTCACGCACATAACGTATCTTGATGTATCTATATTTAAATATTTAATAAAAAAAAATCAGTTTATACGCATTAAAAACATCAAAAATTATAAACCCATATCAAATATAGAACATATAAATACATAACTATATATTTGTATGTAAAGTTGACCTACTATTACTCAGAGATTCTTCGGAGATGGAATATAAAAGAATGTTATATATATTTGATTAATAATATGAGTAACATTTTGTACAAAAATTCGATTGCTTGCCACATGCGCAGCTCTGTTCCATTAGTGTTACAACCGTGAAGCAATGTGTTTGCATGGAATGTTTCGGTGAAAACAAGATGACATAGGATCGTTGGTTTACGATAGTCAGAGAAATAACATATTCTTCGGTAGGCAATTGATATCATGAAAATTATTTATACACTGTTATGTCCATGGTACTGCTCATGTCTATAGGTGACAATAATACTTTCCATCAGGTGGGCCGTCAGCTTGTTTGACCATTCTAAGTTGTAAAAAAAATTTTTTTGTGAACATTCTGTGTGTTTCTTATGAGACTTATAATAAACAAACCTATGAAGTAACGCTGAACTGTCGAAGAGATGTTCGAATCGCATAGATCCAACTTTCAACGAGCCTGGCCCATTGCGTAGTAGGCTACCCTGGAGCCACGACGGTATCTCGCCTTAAAATATCATTGGATAATTATTTAAATAGAAAATATTCGTTTATATATATTTCATCTCGAGAACATTGAAAAAAAAGCCTTCATCCGTTTCGATATCACCTATATCAGACAGATATCTTCATTCATTTCAATATTATATATTGGGCAATCGATATATATCTTTTATTGGCACCAGTATATAGATGATAATATATAGATGAAGCATATATAACCCATCGTAACAAATTTACCAATGAATCAATCACTATTGTTTCCAAGGGGAACCGCGAGAAGGTCGACCAGATAGGGTACATGGCTAGTAATAGGGTTATTAATCCCCATTACTAACAATTCCTTTCCCCCCCCCCTGATGAGTTATTGGTATACACTGGATTATATATTTAAAAGTGCTTGATTGCTATATATATGCTAATTGCTATATATTACCATTTCTACTCTACACAGAATATAATTTTCCCGTACCAATAATCATGAGGTATGTGATGAATACAAATTTATATATGGAGGATAGTCAGTATGTCCATCATTGATCATAGTTGGTATTTACATACACAAATATTGTACAAATTGTAAGAACATAAAATAAATCTATTCTGTATATCTACCTACCAGTAATCGTTCCTTCTAAAGGTTCAGTTACCTCTTCCTCACAAGACCTCAACCATACGCCGGAATCGCAGTTGGGATACAGTTTTTGTTGATCCACCGCCATCTCGCAAAATATAGCAACGATAAAAAAAGATTAAAAAAAAAAAAGTATTAAATATTTTCTATGAAAACTTATAAAGTTGTAGGTAACATAGATATGTATAAAATTTCTTACATTGTACGTTAAATGACTTATGACACAGTAACGTATTCATTTATTTTATCTCCCGACAAGAATTAATATTTTTAATATAATTATAAATCTTATTTATCCTAAGATTATAACATTAGTAATTTATATATTGAAACTGTATTTATTACAACGGAACTGTATAGAGTCACTCGCCGAAAATTGCGCGCGAAAATACCTATTCAATACATAAAAAAAACCCCGTAACACTTCTGTCATTCATTTAAACGGATAAACTAGCGTTCATTAAATATATAATATTTATTAATTAGAGAACTAGAGAGAGAGTAGAGAGAACTAAAAAGAGAATTAGAGAATGAATGATAATTAAATAAATTTTATTTTAAATCACATGATTTTAAATTATAGTTTTTATATCCAAAATTATTAAACAGTTAATATTAGGCAAATGGTACTCACAATTATTCTGTACTCAATGGATTCGCAATGTAAACTGCGCAGTGCCGAACTACGTACTGAGATGGGGTGGCCACCGCCGGGGATGGTCGCCCACGCAACGGCCGGAGCCGGAGACCTTCACCGCGGTTAGCATGTTGGATACACGTGCGACGGCTACTACATCACGAGTACTAAACAAACATTGTTTTTCTACAGAAGGTCCACTATTACTACTGGTTTCTACCAGTATAGTATTCTTATAACTCATAACTATATGCCCACATTGCCTATATATTCAAGCTGAAAATAGTCAGCAAGAATTAGAAATCGATTTTTCTCGAGTGGAATTTAGTGATTTACCTTTTAGCAACACGACTTGTTTACTTACTTCATTGTATATTATTAAAGTTGTTAGAACAAATAATATCTTATATTAATTCATTATTAATTTATATTTTATATATTTTTACTTATTGGACAGAAGAACTTTTTCTCACTTGACAAATTATTTATGAATAATATGAATTAGAAAATTTGAATTTGGAATTATAACTTTATCTTTGTGCAATAATTCTTGGATTTGGCGCGCAATTACTTCTTACCGTAGAAAGAGAATGCCAAGTATTATTTTTAGTGCTATCCTTAATCCACGCTGCCTATTATACTGATCTGACAAGTCTGAATAAGTCTATTCAGACTTGTCACACTTCCTTTTACAGGAATTCAGAAATTAAAAAAGGTATGTTTACTAAATTATGGATTAGATTGCAGACAAATTATCATATTGAAGACTAGGCAGCATGGTCTTCGACCTTAGCTTGTTCCATAACGGAACAAACGTACTAAAAAAATCATGGATTAGATATAAAATTGCAAATTGTAACTATTTACTCCCCTGTTTTAGAGATATAACCTCTTTCCGAGCGTAAACAATAATAGATACAATTTTTAATAATTTAATTTTTAATACATACAATTTTTTTTTTCCTAATAAAATACAGATTTTTTGTGTGAAAGGGCTTCAAATGATCATGCACCAGTGAAATATGGTAAGTGATGATGAAACAGGTCAGCGCATCGTGATGAATTTCACAAAAAAATCCCAAGATGGTTTCTAGGGGGAACCGCGTGGAGGTCGACCTTAGTAGGTGTAAATTTTGTAAATATATAAATGGTTTGCATATAAGTAAAATACAGTATTTTATCTCACTCAGATATGCGAATATTTATAGTGAACATATAAGCACGGCCAATGTAACCCGATAGAAGTGTTCTATTGAAAGGAGTCAAGTTTCTTGTGGTTCTAACATTTAATAATAACAACTACGTAGCTAAAGTAGAATAAAAACTAAAATATCTTAACTAATATTATAAATATGAATGTTTGTTTATTTATATCCTACCTCTTGGATTGACGTCAGGCAGGTGATCAGTCGTACAACCAAAAATTTAAACCTTGAGTAAAAAGTTAAAAGTATGTAGTAAAAAATCATATGAACTCGAGCCCAAGTAATTACGATAAAGGAAAGAAGCTTATGATGATATTTCCACGCGATGTAAAGCTCAATAAATCATCATGATTTCAGAGAAATGGTAAAGTTCAAAATTAAGATCATTGCATTGCATAAAATCAGTATTTTTTTTGTTACACCAGACTTTATACAAAAGGCGTCTCCTTCGGTAGCTCTGTCCTATTCGTGTTTCTACCGTAAAGCAATTGCATTTGCATGGCTGTGTTTCGCTTTGAAGGCAACGAAACTGTAAGCTAGGCATATCACCCTAGTATTCAGGAATAGCAATGCATGAAAGGTATATTGGGCGACACATCATGCCCTATTACGCCTATGGGACTGATCATGTCTATAGACGATGGTTACCACTTGCCATCAGGAGGGCCGTCAGCTTATTTGCCATTCTGAATTAAATGACAAAATTTAAAAAAATTGTAATCTCCAAATATGCTATTTATCTCTCAAACACGTTGTGAGATTAACATATTTCATAATAAAGTTAGTAAAATGTTACATTGAGTTTAAATTGAAAAAGAAATTTTATGCCAAAGTTGGTAAACGACATAGGTTTAATCTCACTTTGAAGGGCATGGGATTAACGTCCAGTGCAAAATATAAGCGACGGCGATTTAACTAAGAAAAATATGTTGTACATTAAAACAATAAAAACTGACGCCTTTGACCCCTAACCAATTATTTGTAAATAATTCCGCGTATTTTTTTCTAAAAGCTTAAGAGAAAATAATTTCATAATTACTATAATATAATTAATAATAATGATTAATATCTACAAGTTAAGAGTAGCAGTTTTTTTAGAGAGAGAGAGAGGGAAATATGCTGACATTGTGGAATGAGTTCCTACCAAGGTGTAAACAAGGTATTTTAAGGGTCGGGAATGCGCGCGTTACATCCCTGGGGTTACAGACGTCCATGGAATACGATAACCGTTTACCATCAGACGGGTTGAATATTTGTTAAAATTTTTTTGTAAAAAACACAATTTTTCTAGTTTAATTAATTTTAATTGAAAAAGTACATCAAATACCGTCAGGTGATTTCAAATACATACTTATAATAAATAATATAACATTCATTACATGAAAATTATAGATGCGAAATAAGTTGTTAGGGAAGGTTGACATGTGCTTTCTTATATATGGTACATACATCGTAATTTAAATTGTATATAATGTATATCTCTAATATATATTGTATTTATGTATATTTTTTTTTACCAATATGTAAGTATTTTATCTAATAATAAATAATATTATTCCGCTATTCCCTTTAATTTGGTCACAATAGAGAAGTTCACGTGAATTGGTAATCCCTGGAGAGGGCGGGGAGGCCTGGCCCCACTGACCTTCTACGAGCAAGGCCGCAGTACAAGTTCAATATTTCGTCCAATGTCAATCTTCATTGGATAATATACATCTACTACGTAGAGATAAAAGATATATCACAATTTGTTTTATTAGATATTTATTTACTGTAATGAATACATTAACCTTAGAACAACTTTTATGATTAAATACGTAGAAAGAGAATGCTAAACAATGGGATCGATTTTGAGATGCCATTTCTCAAAGCCAAAGCTCTAAACCTGTCTCTAGGGGGGAAAGGGATTGTTAGTAATGGAGACTGACAATCCCATTGCTAGCAATATACCCAACCAGGTCGATCTCCTCGCGGTTCTCCCTGGAAACTATCATGGTTAATTCCTGATGAATTCATCATGATGAGCTAACTGGCCTGTTTTCATTCTAATCTATCACCCTTCACTGGTGCTCCTACAGCGTATCCCGTTAGCGCAGGCGGGGTTACCATACCATTTTCACCCATCAAAAAAGAAACCTGTCCCTAAAATTAAAATGTCATTTAGATAACACAACGAAATCTTAATTCTAAGAATCAATATGAACTAAATTTCAAATAGATTTAAGCCAAAATTATTATAAATTTAGTTTATGATGGTCCATAAAACAGTAATTTAAAAAAAACATCAACTAAAAATATTAAGTTTTCAGAATCGGTCTAATATTTGGGGTCGATTCTGAGGCGCGATTTCTCTAAACCTATTACTTAATCTATTAAAATTTTAATTTGATAGTATCGCGAAATTATTGTTTTATAGCCCTAAATTAACTAAATTTAACATAATTTTGACTTAAATCTATTAGAAATGTAATTCATATTGGTCTTTAGAATAAAGATTTCGCTGTAATATCAAATTGATTTTTTTTTTTATTTAGTATAAGCTCAAAATCGACCCTAGATACCTAAAAATTTTAAATTTTCAATATTATGATTTATCTACTGTTAGACCACACACATGATTTTGGTACTCATATCTGAGGTTCATCTATAGCCATAGATTAATTAAATTATCCATAGATTATTAAGGACAATACGTGGTATCTGAGTCTACAATGGTAGAATTATTCTGAGTTATTTAATGTATATAATTTATATTTCAATGTAAGTATTTGTGAGTTGATTTCAAGAACTCTAAGTAAAAATTGAAAACTACCCGAGACTTAATCCGTATTACTAGATTTGTTGATTAACTAGGATAAACAATAAATATATATACATAAAATAATGTACAACAAATTTCAAGACGATTGCTTTAACCGTTAAACGTCTAGAGGTAACAGACAAACAAACTGACTTTCACGTTTATAATATTACAATGTATTAATATAAATATTATTATTTATTATGTTGTCGCTTTTCTAGTTAAATTAGTAAGTACATTAGAACGAGGAACCCATAGAAATAAACGCAAACAACTAACTCGTGCGACCTTACAGTGTAACAACCCGTCCGGGCATCTTTCTATTTATTTGGATTTAGTTTGTTTCACGTGATTACAATGGAATTATATAAGTTTTCAACCGATTTCAAAAAGAATTATATTAATTTGATTGTGTATTTTTCTTTGTGGACTTCCCTTATTCTTTTTATGATTCTTTAACAGTCAATAGGGCAATTGCTCCCGTGTTGATCCCATACTAATTTCAATTCTATTCAAATTTTGTTTTGTAATCAAAAAAGAAAAACCTTAATAGTTTTTTCTTCTAGAGTCATGATTTTTGGGGAATCCTGTTTCCTACTAATATTATAAATAATATAACAGTTAGAAATGTTTGGATGTTTGTTTTTAATCACAGTTAAACGGCTGAATGTATTTAAATGACGTTTGGTATACGAGACAGTTATATTCCATTTTAATACATAAGATACTTATATATCGATTCAAGGAGGCAACGCCGCATGATTCAACTAGCAAAAACATAAATTAGATTTCTAAATATTTTTTCCCACTAATGAATAAGTCTTTTGGAAAAAAACTTCGATATTTCTGTGATTTTATTAAATTTATATTTCTCAATGTTGTTTTTTTAAAAAAAAAACTTTAACGTGATAAACAGTGTGTATTATTTTTTAGAAAAATAAAAATACATAAAGTTCTCGTAATTCATATAAAATATACATTACTAATTTTTCTTTCTGTCTAACGTGCTGGAATCATAACTGCAATCTATGCACTTCTCGCATTCCGGCGGTACGCAGTACGAGAAACATTTGCATGGATGCAAATAGTACTCGTCGCCGACTGCGTAGCAGCGGCCTAGGTTCAACATATCTTCTAAGTCACATCTGTAGAAACAGATGAAGAACTTGCAGTGTCAATATAGCCAGTCTGCTCATAACTACATGTGTTGTAGGTGATGTATGTTTTGCAAAGAAGTTTTATTATAAAATATATAATTATTATTTCAGCCGTCAACTGTCCACTGCCGAATATAGGCCTTCCTTTATTTTTTTTTTCAGGGCTTTTGCCTGTAGATGCCACACTTGGCGGGCAGGTTGGCAACCGCAGGCTTTAGTAGTGTATTAAGAGGGACATTGCTGCCTATGCCTCGTACATTAAGTTCCCTTTGTCGCCTCTTACGACACCCATGATAAGGGAATGGATAGCTCATTCTATGCCGGGACTATACGGTGAATCTGGAGGTATAACAATGAAATGAAATTCCCAATTTTCGGACTCAATTTCGTGTTTTTGTTCATACCGAATTCAGCTCAGTAAATGGATGCCCACATTTCATTCTTTATAAATCCTACCATAAAAGGAACGATATTTTAAATGGTATATATCATGTATTTTTCAAATCAAATTTGTGTTTCGTTCGGTCCCGAAATTTCGGAAAACATTTCATTGTAGACATCATTCTGACATGCCATTGCCTATAAACGTAAACAACACCGTAGATATCACAAAATATACTATGATGTCCATAGTAGATACCCTTAATTCCTGAGAACTATGTTTTACATTCATACCATGTAATTTACGACTTGTCCATGATATAAAAAAAAAAAATGGCAAAAATATGAGAAGGACACAGAGAGGTATCCATGCAGACAACTTTTGTACAGTCTCCCTATTCTTTATAATTAGCATAGATTGTAAAAACATTCACTAAAATTGGTTTAGAATAAGCGAATATATTGCATAAATACACACAAAGAAAATATAGACGAATTGCAAAAACTTGTTAAAATCGCTGAAAAGTTAACTCATCACTCCTACATAAATGACCTAGGTATATACCCACCCTTATAATCTGTTGATTTTAATGATCTGTCAAATTATCTCTTTATAAATATACACCTACGTAAGGATATATATTTACAACAATGATAACGCTTACTTGCTTTCTTCCAGCAGCTTAGTTTCTGACTCGTTAAGTATAGGCACAGCGTACTCGACTATACCACCTTTGCCAACCGTGACTGGAGTTGCACAATACTGCATGTTGTAACATTTCTCAGGGTCCTCTTGTTCCACCAGGGCACTGTCGATAAATGTCGGCTTTTCGAACAGACCTAAGAGCATACACATGAATACTCGAGTTAATTTGAAAGGCCAACCTCAAAACAACAAATCTCATTATGGAGACTATATAGTAGACATGGGTGGTATGGATACTAATCCTAATAAAGATAACTAATCAAGATTAATTCGACAGAAGAAAATAATATTAGACCTAACGGTCCAGCACATTCGAAAATCTCTTCTTTTTTGAAATCGGTTGAAAACAATAATGACACAGGTGCACCTACATTCATTTTATAAACACATACCTTTCATAATGTTAAGCACAAATCTAGCCGTGGAGAATCCAATAGAGAGATGGCCTTGTTCGTTGTTGTTCTTTACTTTGCAAATTATATCGTCAGCTTCGCGGACCAGACGAGTTAGGCAATCAACTTGGGACTGTGTGTAATGATAGACAAATAATTATTGTACTATATTGTTTTTATTGTATAAGTAGAAAGACATAGTTATAATTTTTGAATACCACATTTCAAGTACAACTCCGCTCACCTGATTCAAAACAAGCCTCATTTCACCCCATTCAAAACAAGCTCTAGGGTACTCTCTTGTGAAATTTTACTAAAATTGATTTGAACCAATTTTGATGCATTTCAAAAAGGGATTAAACAGTCAATTGTTAACCCGTTTTGAAACTTTTTTTTATAATAGGCTAAAATTCTTACTAACTTACTTAAAATATACGATTTAGATAGATATAGTATATGACTGACTTGTGGAAAGTTGCCAGCTTTAACAGCGGAGAAAACAGGAACCCTAGTGCATCGGCCAGTGCCACAGACTACCGGCATAGTGGAGGTGCCAGGATCGCTGCCAGTGATAGCGCTGAACAGTTGGTTGGCACGCATCGTATTGATGGAGTTCACACCCAGCACCCGTCGTTTGTCATAAACATGCGCCGCTTTCAATGTCTATATTGAGGGGTAAAATATAATGGTAATACACGAAACTATCACAAGTAGAAGCACGAAAAAAATACGTTATTCAGTCAATGTATTTTCATTATGCAGCAGGAATAAGTGCCAGTACTCTGATCGACTAAATGGAAGATGATATCTTAGTCCCCGTGAATGTCAGTTTTCTCGACTTCTCTCAAAGAAATACGAATACAAAAATGAGAAAATATTTGCATTTTTTAAAATAGATTAAGGATAGTATCTGGCCATTCTCTTTTTACGTCCTAACATGATGCGTATAGATGACAATTTTGTATAGTGTTATCATCTTCATCATTTCGGCCTATATCTATCCACTGCTGGATAGAGGTCTTCTCCATGTCTTCCAATACGTGCGATCCTCCGCTTTTCGCACTGGGAGTCACACATTATTGGTCCTTTTATTGAAGAGTTTACGTCCATAAGTCGGGTTGACAACTGGAAGTTTTGGAAGGATTTTAGTGGACTTTTCAAGTAGTATTTTTAAACGAATTAACTTGTATTCATTGGAAAGTTGAACCTACTGTGTAGAGAACTTATTATAAAATTTTTATCGAGTTTCGATCCATGTTTCTTTATAAAAATGTTCAATTTCACTGACCGAACAATTAATTTTTTTAATACTATTATTAGGATTTGAGCAGAAAATTCTTGATAATGGATAATAGCGCGATGATAAAAGGTCATCGTCGTCAAATTTCTAAAAACAATGCTATGCTAATGATTTTTATCACACTCCGTATATTTGTTAGAGATCGTGATAAGAACTAACATGTTCGACCAAAGCAAAGTTGCAGTCGACCGGCGGAGTCTGTATGGCGACGATTGCGTGCGGGCAGAACTGCGCAACTGCGAGCGCGGTGGTGCGCACCAGCTGCATATTGTTGAAGAACAGCTCTCGACCCAAGGTGTTGCAGCACGGCGGCGTCACGTAACATCCGCCACAGATCAACACCACGTCTGTGTTCTGAGAGCATTGTCATCAATCACGTGCATGTTGTTTGCGTTAATGAGGTCTCGGGTTCGATTTCCGGTGGAGCTAATTTAGAAAACCAACTTTTTTGAATAAGTTTAGGTGTAAGTTTTCGTTGCCCGATTCTTCGTAACACAGCTTGAAGACCAGGTGATTGGTGTGTTTGTATGGCATTTATTAGTGTTGTCTATATTTTTTAAATTAATATTGATAATCACAGATGGCATTAGAAATACGAAGAGATCTCAGGTCTTACGCAACATCTAAAAGTCAACTCCTGTCCTATCGAGCCATCCAATCTATCCAATTTGGTGCAGTTGTTGCATTATACCGGGACAAACATACAGACAAAAAATCTAAAAAATATTGTTTTGGCCTCTATTGGTCTAAACAATTGGTATAAACAGACATCTTCTAGTTACAATTATATTAATAACATAAGATTAACTGTGTTTGCTATTCGTTTCTAAATATAGTTGTAAAGCGTCATAGATCTTTAAACGGTTACCACAACTAGGTAGGTAGATATCTACATACCTACCTGAAGTCAGAGAAGTATGCAAGGATAGTTTTAATGGATTATAATGGAATAGTAACACTGCCTGCTCTATCGGTATACACTGGCAAACACCAGTAAGAATGACTGGTGAGTATGAAATAGATCAGTTGGCCTGTTGTGCGAATTCAAAAATAAATCAATCACGATGGTTCCCAGAGGGAATCACAGGTCAACTTGATAGGGTATATTGCTTGCAATGGGGTTGCTAATACCCATTACTAACAATACCATCTCCCCCCCCCCCCCCTCCTATAAAAGAATAGAGTTTATACATATAGTGTTATTCTCAATGCCGATTCCATAAACAAACTAGACGAAGATAAATAAAAATCTTACATCAAGAGCCGGTCTCAAGAACATTTTCCCCTGATACGCCTCCACGGCGGTGCTGGTGTCGATATGGGCAATGTCATTAGCAACACCAAGAACCTTCCTTTGCGGTACGTCGTCGTACAAAGCTAGAGTGCGAATTATGTTCTGTTGCTTGAGGAACAGTGATGCAATACGCCCTACAGCACTACCAGCACCTATCACAGTCACCTACAACACGAATTTGTATGTGTATTTTAATTTGTTTCTTGTGACCAAATATGACTTAGTTTTATACTAATTATGATAGTACTGTGGGAAAGGGATTGTTAGCAATGAGGTTTACCAGCCCCATTGCTAGCAATAAACCCTCAGGTCAACTACACGGTTTCCCCTGGAAACCATCATTATTAATTATTGTTAAATTCGCCACGAATGGCTAACTGAGCTGTTTTCAAACTCACCTATCATTCACTGATGCATCGTTAACATATACAGATAGCACATGCGAGGTCACCATTTTATTGTCACTTATTAAAAAAAAAACCTCCAATCATGATGGTACGGTGAAATTAGTAAGATGGTCTAATAACCCCATTGCTAGCAATATACCCTCTTAGGTTGACCTCCACGTGATTAATTATTGTTAAATTTACCACGAAAGGGTAACTAAGCTTTTTTCAACCTCACCTATCATATTTCACTGATATACCGCTAGCGTATAAAGATAGTGCAGGCAGGGTTACCATTACATTCTCACCCATTAAAAAATCCATGAAGGTTTTTTTTTATACAACTTAGAATGGCAAACAAGCTGACGGTCCACCTGATGGAATGTGGTAGCCATCGCTTATAGACATAAGCAGTACCATGGACATAACAGAGTATACCGTTTCGCCCATGATAACCCCCATGCGTTGCCATTCCTGAGGACTCAGGTGTTATTCCTCTGTACCCAGTAAATTCACGCCATATCCCACCCTTCAAACCGAAACACAGCCATGCAAACACAACTGCTTCACAGTTGAAACACGAATGGGACAGAGGTACCCAAGCAATCGAATTTTGTTGCTTGAGGAACAGTGATGCCCCTACAAAACTGAGACTTTCTCAACATAAAATTAAACATAATAATAGTGACGCCGGCAAGTGGGTACGTAAAGTGGTGGATTTATAGGTACCTTTTGAAATAATGTATGGTATGGTATAGTTAACCAGGTAGTAAAATTGCATGGCTGTGTTACAATTTGCGACGACGCAGAGTAAGAGCATACAATTTGTGGAATAATTTGCTAATATTGTGTGTATGACCGATGCAGTCATATCTTCTTATGAACCCATTTATGTACAACTTTGTAAACTAATTTCTTAATTATATGTAACCTGCAACCTTATTTATTTCAAATTAAAATTATTTCTTCTTGCACGAAAAACTAAGACTCCACTTGGATATTTATGCCAGTGCATGCCAGTTTGACATGATCAAAAACTAACCTTCCGTGGTGGAAATCTCGGCACTGGACAGAAACGTTCACATTCCCTTTCTATTTGAGTCAGTGCTTCTGACATCACGAAATTCTGGTATCTAGCTCTTGGCACTGCAAAGGAAGTGCTGACAGAAAGAATACGCTTATACAAAGAACGAAACATTTTGTTATTTTACTATTTTTTGTATGAATAAACATATCCTTTTGATTACATTTAAATTTTTCAGTTTTGTTATTTTTAAATATTATCTTGACATGTCACAGAAAAGAAAACCAGAACATACATAGCGTATAGATCCTAATTTGTATCTGTGGTAAATATTGACAGCGATTTCTGTCTTTGTACGATTATACCTAAGAACCAGCGAAATCTTGGGATTACACCTGCAGCGATTGAATGGAGATGTCACGACTCTATGATCTCTCATTAAATTACAATACCATAGACAGGGAGAAAATAAATTGTTAGTAATGGGTTCTAATTGACCCATTGCCAGCAATACAGATCGAACTCCACGTGGAAACTATCGTGGTTAATTCTAATGGAATTCGTCACGATGGGCTAACTGATCGCCAGCGTATACCGATAACGCGGGCGGAGTTACCATTCCATTACCACCCATTAAAAAAATTCCATAGACATAGTATAATGTACTACAATCTCTCTCTTATTCTGATTTAGCGTTTTCTTCACCAGTAAGAAAACAATTATAATTCAGTAATTGAAAAGATTCAAGCCCATTTAATCTTTTTTAGATTACATTCTTCGAACATATATTCGGAACTAACTATATTCCGCGGTTTCGCCCGCGATTATATCGTGATATTAATAACCTAAAACCTTCAAGAAATAAGTTATCAAATCAAAGAATTTTTCAAATCCAATTGACCCTTGCCAGAGATTGACGCGTTTAAACCAACACGCTTTATTAGTATAGTTTTATAAAGTGAACAAATTTTTTGCCTTATTCTCCTTAATACCAGTATTAGATAAACAGAATTCATTAAACAAATGTATTGCAAATTTTAATCATTTTAGGATCTATTATAAAACAGTCATTATAGACCAGGGGATAAACATCATCCAGTATAATCTACATTTAATCCAGGGGATCTTTTCGGTTGAGATTAAATAAAACCAATCATAGAACAGACATCAAATTTAATAGATATATTAAGTTTCACCTATATGTTTAACATTCATATTGATTAATATTATATTGTCTACCCATATACAGGTATACTGTTTATGTAGATATAACACGGAGGAATTAAAAATGACTAGAACTATTAGAGAGTGAAAGCCGCCCAGACTACTTTTACAGTTCAACGCAACACCCACAGCTAAGTACATGTTCAAGTCGCAGTCTAATTAATACATAAATCGAATAAACAATTATGGCTTAACACAAACATAAATTCAATCGCCGAGTGTGAGTTTAGCACTAAAGTACTATTAATATAAAATATTAACAGAATGATGTACCATGATCAAACCTGATGGAACAAATAAATACGCAAAGCACAGGACCATACAAAGTAGTGCACCTTGTGTGCGGCCATGTCCAGTAGTAAAATACTACAGACTGGTGATGATGATGAACTAGTGATGATGGAAACGACGTGTATTCTGAGATGTTCACATTTATACGTATTGTAATCTATAGACATTTTACATTGCAAATTTGAGTGTTTCGATATTGTAACGCCTTTTATGAATATTTAAATCAAAGGAAGTTATTTAACTATCCACTGAGATTCAGGCGCGGCCTAGTTCGGTAGCTAGTAGACCTAACTAAATCTATGTAAATTATTATTCAATAAAGACAGTTAAATCTATATATAGGTTATTCCTTAGTTTAAATGCAATTTCAAATAAAAAGTGACGTTACAAGTTAGCGTTTTTGATGCAAATTTATAGCTTAACTACAATAGTACTAGGTTCATTTTCGACTTGCTACAGATGTACCTAGTTTATTTTGTATGTGCACGTTCGTAATAAGACTCCACTTGTATGTACTCAACACATATGTACATACGAAGATTCGTGTTCCCAAATTTACGTACAAATATGAACGTAAACGCCAACATGGCAGTCACGTTAATCAATGTTAAACTCACACTTGGCGCCTAGTTAGCTGTTAACAATTTGTAGGTACTCTTTCGTCGCACTTGTAATGATCAATTAATACACTTTTCTATTCGCTGCCTGCTTTATTTTAGTGGCGTTTGATAAAATTTATTTGATTAAAAATATATACGTAAAAGAATCGAAACAAAATTGCAGCTGTTTCAAATTTATTGAATATAAAAAAAATAAATAAGTTATGTTATATAGTTGCATAGTAATATATAATCTTAAATTTTTCAATACATTAATAATTACTCAAAATTTATTAGCTTACTTGATATTTACTAGTTGTAAGTCAACAGTGAACGCTCTATATAAGCAACCTCTCTGTAAGCAACTTTACAGTGTATTTATTCTACTCAGCTTAGTAAAAGAACTAAGTAAAAATATTTTCCAGACGTAAGTATTTTTATACTCTTTTTTCCCCTATAAGCAAATTTTCCTAATATTTTTTTTTTTTATTAAAATTGGTTCAAATGAGTTGATTATATAGAGCGTTCACTGTATGTAAATAAAGTTCATCAAACGCCACATTCTTTTCCATTAACATAATATAATTACACACTATTTCACAAACTCATATTTATGTATCAATAGTATAAGAGAAGGGTCTGTAAATAATTTAGCAACTATCTTAATAAATTATTTTTATTCTAATAGAACAATCATTTAATAAATAACATAAAATATCAAACAGAAATAATGGACAATCACAATAATGCAATTTGTACCGTATTCTTGGTGTTTATGGTTCCACATAAACATCAATGTTAGCTAATCATTTAAAAACCATACGGAACTGTCCTGACGCTGCTATCACATATAACCGCTGATTTACCACATTCAAAAATTAAACAGATCCTTTGTCATTTTTAATCCAACAATGTAACAATTGGCACAGATCTTTTTGACTAGGAATTTTACTAAACCCTCCCAGTATACCAGTGAGTACATTAAAAAAAAAAAAAACTTAAAACTAAAAACACAACTTAATGTGACACTCAAAATCAAACTAGACTACAACACACTGCAAACATACCTTTGCTGATATTAATAGATTAAAATATATACAAGTGTTAACAAAAAATATCAACGACTCAATGTAGGACATATATTACATCAAATAACTATAAATTCCATCTAATACTCAAATAACAAATGGCGATAGCTAAATAAAATTAAAATAAATTTGTTTTATAACAATGCAATTTTTTTATAAACCTGTGATCCTTGACACATTTTTATATCAGTACTAGAAACAAACAAAGGCGAAAAAAAAAAACACATCTTGAGCATTATATTTTCAAGTACAAAAAAAAAACTGAAACTATACCACCTATGTTGATCATTAATTCACTAAAACTCTCCAGCCATTATCTGACAATTTGCAGTTTAAACATAACACAAACCTAAGCACGGTATATTTTATCAAGACACGTGTCCTATCAACCTACCTACTATGAACGTTTTACCGAAATTTCGGAACCGAACGACATATAAAATTGCATAATTCATATCATTCGACTACTCTACGGTAGGTTGTATGACCAATAAAGCATCGCCGTCAGCCCGTGAGACAAATGCCGATATGAGTAACATTCGAGTCTGAAATTTCGGATTACGTTTTATGGTAGACCCAAATCAAATCAAAGCGGCCAATTCAGATCTTCATTTCCATCAACTGTCAACATTATGTACACAGCATCAAATCTCTCGATCCAATCACAAGAGCTAGACGGCTCCCCTCGCGAAGTTTTTACAAGGGTCCCTAAATACTGAACCCGCTGCAGCTCCGATGTCTCGCAGTTAAAACTACCTTTCGTACTATTCACAACCCGTCGTTTGCGACGCTTAATAAGTAGGTCATAAGAAATGTGACGATCACTTGTATAAGCACCGCTGCATAATGAACACGTCTCAATTGGCGGCGTGGCACTTGAGCTAACGATTACAGACTGGCCAATATGAGTCGTTCGATTACTATCACTATTAGGATTCGTTATTAAAAAATAACTATTCGAATAAAAATATGTGATTATATATTTTTTTTTATTTAAGTATTACTAATTTTTTAAATTAAATTTATCCAATAAAAGCTACCTTCGAATGACGAATAGTAGTTTGATAACAAATGCGAATAATTCAAAGAAATCATTCGAATAAATCGAAAAGACGACACAAATATAACACATACTTTTTAAATATTAATTTACAATATATAATTAGAGAAATAAACCTTTGCACTAGAAATATAAATTATATATAAATATGTAATAATGTATACAATATATTTGCAATAAAGGTATAAATAATTCATTATCATAAGAATGATATAGGTTTGGTATTATAGATAAATATATAAATTCTTATAATCCGCATGCATTTTTATTTTTTTCTTATTTATAATTTCCTACCAATTTGATACAAACTCCCTAAAATATAAAATATGTATTTACGGTATAATTGTTGATGTGCCAACTACACACCAATTGAGACATTAACATTACAAGCGCGGTTAAAATACCTACCTTAGATACTAAGTATTATTTTAAACTTACAACTGAATATTAGGTAAGATCAATGCTGAATAAAAATATTTATAATATGAATTTTAAGGAGAAACAATGGAAGAAAAAGCTTTAAAACATTATATTTTTTGCATTAGACAAAACATCAAGTAGAAACAGTAAAATAGATAGCAAACTATATACATGAGACACTGTGTAAAAATCTCTAAAACACTATTAGAGTATATAATATCAAAAACATACATTGAATATAATAAAATATGTAAACCACTAAAAGAAGGAAGGCTCAACGAGAGTAGATTAAGTAGAAAATATTAATTTATACAAAGATAACTTTAACAATAAATATTTTATAAATATTGCAATTTATTACACGATTATAAATACGTAGGAGAATACCTGTAAATATTTGTATTACCGCAATTCCAATATTTACATACGTATCACATGTTTTCTTTTTTTGAGAGGAAAAAAAAACAACTTGTGACACCAAGGAAAACTAGCTAAACGGTTATATAAATACCAGAACGGCGATACACAGTAATAAATACAATATCAGAATAATTTCTAATCGCAACGATTTAACGGAGCTATGTGATGTTAATGTTAGTGTATAAACTCCTT